CATTGCACTAAGGCACAGAAAGCCAAAACCACAGAGCCTCAGTTACGTGTGGAACCTAAACCAGTTGGATGCACAGGTACTGCATGCAGAATGATGATTACCAGGCATGGGGAGAGGGAGGGTGTCTGGAAATATCGGTCAAGAAATACAAAATTTCGGTAGACAGGAAGAATTTCCAAAGTTTCCCAGGATGAAGAAAGGGGTCCACAGGCCGCCCTGCAGTGGAAGGAGTGTGAGGTCGCTGTGCAAGAGCCCATGGGACACTAGGTGTGGACAGTTGTCTCTGGGCAGTTGTCAAGCACCTGCCCAGGAACCACGCAGTGCATTTCCAGGTGAGGGGCTGTGGGAGCTACCGTGTCCTCACAGGAGCCTGTGGATGGGGACCTTTCAGGATCCTGAAGAAGCACTTCCTCCACGGGAAATAGGTTCATGTTTTGCAGAGCACAAGTCACTCCCTGGACCCTGGGATCTGTACAGTGTGTAAATGACTGAGGAAAGGTCTCTCTGGGTTCTTTGACTCACTGGCCACCAGGTAGTGGGCAGAGCCTCCACAGATGGTCACAGAATTAACCTGGGCTCCTTGGCTTATTCCCAAGTAATGAGAGAGGCCATCGGGGGGCGAGTGCAGGTTCCAGGGCCGACAGCCTCCTCATCAGTGTGGGAGGCTGGGCCATGCCTCTTGACCTCCCAAAGTCCACCGTTCTGATTCTGAAGGCAGGAACGAGAAGAGAGAGGTCTGAGCCACAAACTGTACTACTGCCCGTGAAGCCACAGCCCTGGCAGTGACCAGGTCTCAGCAAATCCATACGAAACTGAAGGAGGCGGTGGCCGATGTGGCTAGGTACCAATAATCAAATTAAAAACAAAAGCATACTCTCTTCACCTTTTTTTTTCTATTATATAGCAAACAAGTTCACTACAACAATTCTTAAATGGTGTGGAGAAGATACTATCCAGGGCCGCCCCTCCCCCATTACTCAAAGACACCACTCATTTTCTGTACACTATCATTTACTTGGCTGTTTCTTCCTAAAACCCCAGTGATCGTTAAGTAATAACTCCACAACTGCAGGCAGCAATTAGAGCCACGGGAAGCCTAAGTCATTGCCAGGGATGTACTATGTGCAAAGCTCCTTTCCCCACACTAGAAAGGAAGACAGCAATTGTCAGAGGGGGAAGAGTTGGGTGAAAAGGAAGCACTGACCCAACCTGTGGGCAGATCATGGCAACAGCACCTGGTAACACGGTCCCCAAAGTCAGTCATTTTTGTGCCATCCTAAGTATCTATCACATCTGAACAAGAGACAGGTGAGGCCATCTGACTCAATGCATGTGCCCTGGGGTAGGAGGAAGATAAGGCAAGGGGACAAAGATGGGAAATTTGTGAGTGGTGTACAGTTACACAGGTAGAAATTCTTGAAACCTTAAGACCAGATTTCTTGCAGATATTCTCTACCTTAGAACCCTCAGCACTGAAAGATTTCAGCGTAAGATCTTTAATCTGGAGTCCAGAGATCTCTTGGCTCCATGCATAGATGTCAGGGAGCCTGTATTCACCAAGGTTCTCTCCAGAGAAACATAATCAAGAGAATGTAGGTTGGCAGATAGAGAGAGAGAGAGAGAGAGAGAGAGAGAGAGAGAGAGAAGAGAGAGAGAGAAGAAGAAGAAAGAAAGAAAGAAAGAAAAAGAAAGAAAGAAAGAAAGAAAGAAAGAAAGAAAGAAAGAAAGAAAGAAAGAGAGTTGGCTCTCCTCTTAGGCAAAAGAGCCTCAGAAGCTGGACTCTGGCCTCTGGCCTCCCAGCTGCCAAGAATAACATTCTCCACCAGCAAACTGTGATATGTTGAACCTACTATTTATGAAAGAATTAAAAAACAAACACTTGGGGCTGTTAGGTTGAGAGCTGTAAAAACCTGTTTCCACACCTAACCCAAGGTGCCAGAACCTGCAAGATAAGCACGTGCTCTGTCACCTACCTTAACAAGCCTGCAGCTCCTTGGGGCCAGACTCCAGACCATTTTCTAACCCAAGCACCATGCAGACCTGAAGAGTGTGTTCACTCTGTTTGCATCATGACAACTGGACTCTACTCGGGAGAGTGAGATCCAGACACTTCTTAAAACCTAACCCAAAGACAGGGCCACATGTCTTCCTGCCCAGCGTGTCTCGTGACCCAGGTGCTGAGGTTCTAGTCTACAGGAGGTGCCTCCATCACTTCCAGATTTAACCCACACATGGGTCATGTTGGAGTTCATTTCTCATGAACTCCTCTAGGGCAGAGACTTTGGGGCTTGACTTCTCTGGTAAGTTCTCCCACTCTCATTGCTGTGACAAAAACTATCATCAACTATGTAGCACTATAGAAGCAAGCCCATGGCTAACTGTGACTGAAGACCACTCTGGAAACTGCAGTCTTGACACAGTCCTGAGGATTAGCACCCAGTCCTGGTTTGGACAGTCTCCTTGCCTCAACAGAGGAACCAAGACCCACACAGCCAGCCCCAAATGACCTAAAACAGTGACACTCACTGGGCTATGCCACCTCTTGTCCCTTTGTTTCCTTCTAATATGACCCAGTTTACACAGGCTCAGTGCTCCCTTAGGTTGGGAGAGTACTAATGTCCTTGTGTTACTGGAAGTGGCTTCTCTTTGGTGTTTGCAGCAAACGTTGAGCTCTAGTGAAGCGTTCGCCTGAATTGGCTCTCGGTTTCGGAGCAAGCTAATGGCACCCAGGACCTCTATTTAGGTCAAGTAAGAAGCAGGAACACAACCTTGTACTATGAACTTGCTTAATAAGAGCTTTGAACTTGGGCAAGCAGAGGGTCAAATCGCTCTCCTGTAGTATGGGGCTGTGATGTGTCAGGACCTGATGCTTGTGCATAGAGGGGGAACTTTGTGATGCTTGTGCATGGAGGGGGAACTTTGTGATGCTTGTGCATGGAGGGGGAACTTTGTGATGCTTGTGCATGGAGGGGGAACTTTGTGATGCTTGTGCATGGAGGGGGAACTTCGTGATGCTTGTGCATGGAGGGGGAACTTTGATATTAAACACATGCAAGGTGAGAATACTGTATTCCCTCACATTTGCTGGGGCTTGCTGACAAAGGAGCCATCCTACCATATTGCACCAAGAACTTACTTCAAAGACAAGTTTTCCTTCTGGAAAACTGACCAGAAGGAAAACAAATGGAGATGTCATTTCCGAGGGGAGAAGGGTGAGCAGTAAATAGAATCAGTTCCTAGAGAACTGGCATGTCACTTGACATGGGACCCATGGGATACTCTCTCTCTCTCTCTCTCTCTCCCTTGTCTCTTCTCTCTCTCTCTCTCTCTCTCTCTCTCTCTCTCTCTCTCTCTCTCTCTCTCTCTCATTGCCAGATTGGAGTGACCTTAACCCTCAACAGGAGAGAGCTGAGTCCCTCTAGGGCATGTTATGGTTTGGATGAAGTTGTTCCCCAAGGGTTCATGTGTTGAAAGCTTGGTCCCCAACATGGCGAAACTTTTCAGAGGTTGGGTTTAGTGGGAAGTGCTTAAGTCGTTGGAGGTGTTGCCTTCAGAAGGAATTAATGTAATTCTCACAGAACCCTGGCGAGTACTTACAAGAAGATTGTTATTAAAAGCAAAACTGGCCCTTCTTCCCCCTCTGGTTTCCTGTCTTGCCGTGCATGTGATCCTGCCCTAGTGCTATGCCAAGACATGATACAGTAGGTGGGGAAGGGGTGCTCATGAGAGCTGGCACCATGCTGCTTAGACCTTCAACCTCCAAAACTGTGAGCTCAGCAAACTTCTTTTCTTTGCAAAGTAGCGAAAATTAACCAGCACTCCAGGATCAAAAGAAAAGTGGGGTGAGGCTGAAAATCCACATCGAGCTCACTGCAGGTTTCTTTTCATGAACAATCTACCCAGCACAGAAATTGGAGTACTCTACATTGATCCGAGTCTTGCATGGGGAGCTCCCCACCCTCCCCCAAATCAACTGCTACAGGTTGAGAACCCCCCCCCAGCACCCGTGCCCCGCCCAGCATCCGGCACAGCCAATCACAGAGCAGGCAGGTAGCGGGGGCGGGGCTAACCGGTGAAAGAGCAGCCTGCACCCCAACCGCCAACCTCCTGCAGACAGAGCCTGCCTAGCTGTGGTTGCCTCTGCTGAGACCCCTAGCTGGGCCCGGGTGAGGTATGGGCCTCCCCAAAGCGGAGTGTCTGCTAGTCTGGGACCTGGGGGTGGTTTTTGGGGGCACGGGGGTCCTGTCCATGCTGTCTCCAGGCCTGGCCAAGTCAGAGGGTACCCGGCCCCCTGGAAGTCGTGCTGTGATGCCCACAGTTTTGAGCCTCTGTGAACGTCCTCTGGCAGGGACAGGTGTGTGAGAGGAGAGAGGAGAAGGAGAAAGTTGCAGGGCCCTAGTGTGGACACTCCCAAGACAGCTATATGGCCGGGCAGCCCTGCTAATCAAGCCCCTAAGAGGAGTTCTTGGGAAGGCTCTTCAGAAGGGTTTCAGTTCAGGATGGGTCCCCAAGACGTATCTGTCTTCTTCTTGTACATTAACCAAGATGGTGTGAAGTGACCTCCCAACTGCTGGGAAATCCCTACACTACTTGGTACAGGAAGTCCTCATTAGTGAAGTTTTTGCCTTGGTGTCCTCAGTACCCTTGGTAAATAACCTGTACCAACCATTTCTCAGTCTGCTTGATGTTGTCATAAGATTCCGACCCACAAGGTATCTTCCACCATCCTTGAAACCTACATTTCCACTGACTTCCCTTTTTAGAGCTCTGCGTAGACTGTTTTTTTAATATGGCAGCTTGACCAACTACCTGCACTTAGCCTCTTCTGTAGCCACATCTTTATCATCTTCCACACTTCTTGGGAAAGTCCTTGTGAACATGATTGATTTAGATGGTTTTCTTCCCCCATGGTGGCCACAATTTGTCAGGAAAGAGTAAGGTGGCTTTTTAGAAGGATTGGTCTGATCAGATGCTTACTTCTTTACCTAGATTTTTGGCATATGAATTCTTCACTTTTCCTGGCCACCCTCTGCTTGGCAATAACTGTAGCAGTTGGACAATTTGATTACAGATTAGATGCAGAATGGCTCCAATGGAAGACAAGACACCGGAAACTCTATGGCATGGTTGGTGACACCTGAAACTGTCCAGAGAGAGACATCAGAGAGAATGGCTATTGCTGTTGGGTGTTTGTAGACAAGGGTTGCTTCTAGAGGACAGGTCTTACCAAGAGCACAATGTCATCCTTTGTGAGCACAATATGGGCAAAACCCCTATTGTGTCTGGTCTAGAGAACAGATCCTAGACTTGCAAAGCCAAGTGTGCCTGTGGTTTCTGTCCCTTCTTTGTCTGCAAACCCACTTGGAGATTATGGGTTGGGTTTTAAGTAGAAATAAAGACCATCAGATATTTGTGCCTGTAGGATGAAGAAGGATGGAGGAGACAGCTGTGGGAGAAGAATATAAAAATGATTGACCAACACAACCAGGAATACGGCCAAGGGAAACATAGCTTCACCATGGCAATGAACTCCTTTGGAGACATGGTGAGTGTCGTAGGTGCTGCTTAACTCTGTGCCCCCTCTCCTCAGTTCTTTACCAAAAATAATCTCTTGCCCTTTCAACATTGTATTTACCTTGGCTCGAAGACTCCTGAAGAATTCAGGCTGATGATGAACGGGTTTCAAAGCGAGAAACACACGATGGAGCATCTATACCAGGAACACCTCGCTACCAACACCCCCTCCTCTGTAGACTGGAGGGAGAAGGGCTTTGTGGCTCCTGTGAAGAATCAGGTATGACAGGATCAGACTCTTCCCCAGGGAATAAAAGAAGGAGTTGGTGTTTGGGCTTTGGTAGACTGTGCAGCTGCAAGCAGGTCGCCATTTTTTAAACAGCATTCATATATGAGTTGATGTACAAAATGTCCTTATTTGCTTTGTAGATGACAGCGTGTTTGTTCTGTTTTCAGCATTCGTGTGGCGCTTCCTGGGCTTTTAGTGCAGCTGGGGCCCTAGAAGGACAGATGCTTTGGAAAACTGGCAAACTGGTGTCACTGAGTGAGCAGAACCTAATAGACTGCTCTTGGTCTCAGGGGAATGAAGGTTGCACTGGTGGCCTGATGGACAACGCCTTCCAGTACGTCAAGGACAACGGAGGCCTGGACTCTGAGGAATTCTATCCTTATGAAAACAGGGTGAGCAGAGCTCTTTATGTTGCCCTCCCCACTCTGCTCTCAGGAGCTAGAACAATTTCAGAGACCACAGACATCCAGCGTTCTCATTTGAGATGGTCGACTGTACCTGCAAATTGTCAACACTGTCACCAGGTTAACACAGAGCCGTTCCATGTCACATGGAGTCCACCTGTGCAATGTTGCATGTAATGCATTTCTTCCTAGCGTGAATTTCTATGCAGAGACCTCAGCTAATTTTTTTTTTTTTTCCGTTTCAAACCAACGCAGAGCATTGCACTCCCTGGGATGCTTTTCACCGAGCTTGCTTGTAAATGATTAAACTGCAAATGGCTGAGTGTTGTGGCCCAAGAACTCATATTCCCCAGAAAGTGGTTGGTAGTAACCAAGCCTCTTGTTCCTTTCCCTTGAAGAAAGACTTCTGCAAATACAGCCCCAAGTATTCTGCTGCCAATATCACTGGCTTCGTGGACATCCCGAGGGATGAGAGCTCCCTTAGAGAGGCAGTAGCAACTGTGGGGCCTGTCTCTGTGGGTATTGACACATTACCAGAAACCTTCCTATTTTATGAAAGAGGTAAGCATTAGGCAGAAAATTGGAAAATTACCATGATGTTACAACATCCTTGATTCTTTATTTGCATAACTCAGTGTAAATGTCAGGAAACGGATTAATCCAGTTGTTTGTTCTGTGGGCAATATTTGTACCTGTTGCTTCCACTTGACATGGCCATAATGATAGGCACCTCTGAAATATTTTTAAAAGGCCGCTAATTCTACTGGTACTTGGCGTACTTAACTCTTCTAAATCTTAACATACTTAATGTACTTCTCTCCAGTTACTGGTTGGACCTTGAAATTTTTGCTGATGAGGTTTACGTCTGTTGTTAAAACTGAAAAGCACCCCTTGACCTGAGCAATTTTTGTGTCACGTGCCTGATATCCTCGGAGGAATAGACTTGCTAGGTTTTAAAAAGTGGTCTTGGATGCCTGTTGGCAAAGTGTCTAAAATGGAATGATGTTAAATTTTCATTAGTTTTAGCACAGAACATAAATCCCTTGCCTTCTTAACAATAGATCCTATTTTAGGTTTTGTCTAGAATGTATGTCATTTCACTTTGAAGTTGGAGTTTCACTTGAATTTTGAAAAGCCTCCCTTGCCATGGGTGACAGAGGGGGTCACTCTCAGGTGTCCCCTGGAGCTTCTCAGTTCAGCATTGATTTTTTACTTTCATAGGTATTTATTTTGATCCAAACTGCAACAGTGAAGAATCAAACCATGGTGTTCTGGTGGTTGGCTATGGCTTTGAAGGAGAAGAATTATATAACACTAAATATTGGCTGATCAAGAACAGGTATAAAATGCCAAAAGTATTTACTACATTTGAAATTTCAAAGGGCGTTTTTGTTTGCAATCAGTATTTGGAAACAGGTCTAAAACCTTTAAGCACACTTCTGAAATTCCAGAAATCTTTGCCCCAGTTAAGGTGAACACAAAAATATTAATGCTTGATTGTGACATTAATATACTATCACAAGATGGATGTCAGCAAGATAGGCTTACTTTGCCAAGGACCAAAACAAACAACAAAAAAAAAAAACAAGTGTTATTCAAGTGTATACTTGAGAGAGCACTCGAGTTCTGTGGGGATGTGGCAGGAAGACTGTGGAGCACAGAGATTCAAGATTGCCTTACAAAGGAGGGATTGAAGCACCCTGCACCTACCCCCTGTCTCACCAGACTGGGTAATTTGTGAAGAAAAGAGGTTTACTTTGAATCATGGTTCTAGAGATGCAAGGCTGAGAAGCGGTATCTATTGATTGACTCCTTGCCAATAAGAGTCCCAAAGCTGGGCAGGGTGTTGCATGGAGAGAGACAGGGAGTGCATAAATGTGGATCCGTCTGGTCTTCTTTCCCTCTTCCTATAAGCCACAAGAATTCAATCACTGGTTTCCACCCTAATTACTTAATCTTAATCGCTTTCCAAACGCTCTGTCTCTAAACACCATAGTTTGGTTAAGTTTCCACCCTATTAACACCTCACAATTGGAAATTAAATTACCATACCCAAAACCTTGAGCGACACTCACACCATCTCTTGAGAGAGATATGGACATCCATTTCCAAGAAGCTCGGCGGCCTCAATTAAATTCAACCCAAGAGGACCTCTCCAAGCCACACTGTAATGAAGCTATCGAAGTCAGAGAGAGCCAGGTATTGATAGCTCACACCTGTAATCCTAGCTACTTGGGAGGCTGAGACCTGAAAGGTAGTGCTTCGAAGCCACCCTGGACAAAAAGAGTTCACAAGACCCCATCTCAACCAGTAACTGGGTGTAATGGTACTCACCTGTCATCCCAAGCTACATGGGAGGCAGAGATTGGAAAGACATCCCATGTTCTGTTTATACATTGGAAGAATTGCTTGTGGAAATATCCATGCTACTGGCAATTCTTATTAACTAATCATGATACCACAGAAAGAGGAAAGGCAATCCGAAATTCACATGGGACCACAAAGACCCCCGAATGCCCAAAGCAATCCTCAGGAAAAAGAGCAAAGCTGAGAGCACCACAATATTTTATTTCAAGATATACACATGGTAGCATGGCTGCCATAAAAACAGACGCCTAGACCAACGGATCAGAAAGGAGAACCCAGAAACAAGTCCACTTAAAGGTAACTGACTTTGACAAAAGTGCCAAGAACATACATACATTGGAGAAATGAGTCTCCTTATGCTGGGAATATCCATATGCAGAAGAATGAAACTAAACCTCTCTCTCTCTCTCTCTCTCTCTCTCTCTCTCTCTCTCTCTCTCTCTCTATATATATATATATATATATATATATATATATATATATAAATCACCTCAAAATGGACCAAAGACTTAAATGTAAGACCTGAAGGGATGAAATCACAGTGGAAGACTGCAGGGCATAAAAATGGCAAAGACTTTTTGGATAAGATCCACAAGTATAGATAGCAAGAGCAAAAACAGGTGAATGGGATTACATTAAAGTAAAACCTACTGGATGAACCAGGGGCAAGATGGCAACAGAGCAGCGTCACCTGCCGTTATTCCTCACAGATACACACACCCCAGTAAACAGGATCTTCTCTCACCTCTCTGCAGAACTGCTAAGATAGTAAGTGCTGGCGGCAAAGTCGTTTGGATTCCACTCAACCCACACGTGTACCAGTGACTGTAGGCAAAGCAGAACAGCAGGGCCACAGGCTTGCCCTGCAGGCATGCCCCGCACCTGGGCACAGAAGCCGTGGAGCACCCCCTGCTCTGACCCTTTAATTTGCAAATAACCCAACAAGAAAAACAGCAGGCAATGGCACATGTACACAGAGCCCCCTGCCAAGACAAAAGCTAAGAGCCCTTCAGATGATGGGACATGGCTCCTAGCTACAGTTAAGAAACTGCGCTGCTAGGCACAGAAGCATAGGTCAGTGGCTTCCAACAGGGGAAAGATGTCTGTGAGTCCCAGGAGCTGGGACTCAGGAGGAGACACTACAAAATTAGTGGGAAGTGCAAGAATGGGGGACTGACAGCTCAGACCTCAGAAGCCTGCACTGGAGTTTTGTTCAGCTCTCCATGCCCCCTGGCCCTGCACTGGAAACAAGCCATTCCATTCCAGAATTAGCCAACCAACTAGTCTGCCATCTGCTGGCTTGACAGAATCCAACTTTGCTCACATTTTCTTTTGGGGTGGGGGCAGTACTCAGGGCCTCACACTTAGAAGCAGGCGCTTTATCACGAGTTACTCCACCAACAAAAGAATTCAGCTTTGAAGAGAAACAAACAGGTGATAGATGGATAGATAGACAGATAGACAGACAGGAAAGCAACTGAAAATTTTGATGTTTAAAAATAAGTTTGTTTTTGCCACTGTCGGGTTTTGATTTGCTCTTTTAATGTGTTGGTGTTGGTGTTTTGCATATCTGATTAGGATAACTTTGTACTCTCTGATTTCCTGTTTGGTTCTGCTTTTCCTCCCTTTTCTCTGCAGTCATTGTACATGAACCCTGAAACCTTCTCCATCCTCTCCCTTTTGCCCTCCCCTATTAATAATTTCCTCCAGTCTCCAATTAAACCATTATCTCGCTTATATTTTGCTTCAATCTCTCCATCCATACTCCTTCTTTATTATCTATACTTCTAGCAGGTTAACTAGATTGCCAGGTCATCTTGTTTTTCTTTCAAATTTTTGTTGCTGATTGGTTTAATTTTCTTGATCTCCCTTTCTTACCTACCCCACCCCACTTTCTCAGTAACCCCTAGTACTAAGCTAAGCTACCACCCCTTCCTGCCTTATAAAATCATTCACCCTGTATCATTCACTGGTGTTACCCCACCTGTCTCCTTCCCATCGCTGACCTTATTGACTTAGGTCTTTCTAGATCACGAAGACTCTTCTTCGCTCCTCTGCTCCCCTAAATGTACTGGAGCAGAAGCAGTGATTGACCTTCACTAGGGCTTACCATAATGTCAACATTGTGATTGACCACCACCTGTGACAGCTTTTGCATCCAAGCTTCTCTTCCCGAGTGGAGTAGGGAGCTGCACCCAGCATCTTCAGCTTTGCTGCTCTATTCACAATAGCTCAGAAGTGAAAATAACCCAGGCATCTGTTCATCAGATGAACGGAGAAAGAATACAGGTATATGTATACATAGATTTGCAAATACATGCACTGGAGTATGATTCAGCCATGAAAAAACAATATCCTGTCACTTGTGACAACATGAATGAGAGGACGCTGTGTTAAGTGAAATAAACCAGACACAGAACACCAATTACTACATTTCCTCATATGTGGAAGTTTTAAATTAAAAGCTGATTTCATAAAAGTAAAGAGTAAAAAAGCAAGGTCATCAGAGGCTGGGGGCCGGGCAAGGAAGATGGAATAGAGGATGGATAACAAGTACCAAAAAATAGTTAGCAATGGCGAATAGCTTCTAGTGCTCCAGAGCACAGTGCAGTGAATACACTTAATAAAAAATATACTCGTGTTTCAAAATAGCCTTTAGACAGGACTTTGAATGTTCCCAACCAAAAGAAGTGAAAAGTGTTTGAGGCGATGGAAATGCTGTTTTCCCTGATTTGAGAATTAGATGTTGTATGCATATATCGAATGCCACCCCATGCTGCCCAGATACCTACAATCAGTAGGCACCAACTAAAAAAGAGAGACCCCATCCCAAATTTATTGAGGGGTATTAAGTGTCATTTGTAACACTGCACTTCCCACATATTGGGAAAATAAGTGGGCCCGAAGGCTTCCCTTTCCTTTCTCTGATTACGGGGTTGTGTATGAAGTCATTGTTGGCGGCCGGGGAGGAAGTTAAGTGCAATTCAATGAGTGACTAAGGATGAACAAGACACCTGCCTCTGCTGAGCCTTCCTGCTAAATCAGTGACCTCTGGCCCAGGGACAGAGTCTTGACTCTTAAGACTTACAAAGCTAAAACGTGCTTTTGGTGGTGGGGAGGACAAGGCTCAGGTGTGTCTTTTAACAGAGTGCTCTTCTTCCAGCTGGGGTGAGGAGTGGGGCATCGATGGGTACATGAAGTTGGCTAGAGACCGGAACAACCACTGTGGTGTTGCCTCGTATGCCAGCTACCCGGTGTGCGAGCCCTCGGAAGGCAGCATGGAGGGACTCGACATGAGCACGTCCACACGACTGTGATCTTCACCCTGCCCCAACGCTGACCTCATCGGAGATCCTGGTTGAGATGTGAATCCCATGATGTTTTTACTCTAGTAAGATACTACTACTGTTTTAATTACTGCCATAAATGGCTTTGTTATTGACTCCTCTCATGACTTTTGTGTCTTCCTTTTTTGAAAGAATATATAAAGCTAAACCTTTAAGAAAAAAACAAGGCCAAATGTATGACGGGGTCTTTATCTGTTGAGTACACTGACTTTTTTGTGAGTCCAATATGTCGTTCTTCTCTGAAGACAGAACTGAATGTGCCAATGGTGCACCAGGAGAAAGAGTGGATGCCTTCTGGCTCCCCTAGTCATGCGTATGCAGACCTCATCTCAGGTGCCTGGCTATCTGACCCAATCTTTGACTGGAGAAAATTTTGAGAAAGGGTCTGTGTGGATAAAGGAAAAATATTTAATAAAGAACAATCACAGTTTAGAAAAGCAAATAGATATATATGATTTTAGTACTAGGGAAGGAAGGAGAGAGGGAGTGAGGGAGAGATGGAGGGAGGGGGGAAGGAAAGAGGGAGGGAGGGAGGGAGGGATGAAGGAAGGAAGAAGGGAGGGAAGGAGGGAAGGAGGAAAGAAGGGAGGGAAGGAAGGAGAGAGGGAGGGAAGGAAGGAAGGAGGGAGGGAAGGAAGGAGGAAAGGAGGGAGGGATGAAGGAAGGAGGGAGGGAAGGAAGGAAGGAGGGAGGGAAGGAAGGAGGGAAGGAAGGGAAGGAAGGAAGGAGGGAAGACAGGAGGGAGGGAGGGAAGAAAGGAAGGAGGGAAGGGCCAACTGAATCCCTAATATGAACTCCTGTAATAGGCATTTGACTTCCAGACTTCTTGATATATATGTTACCCTTAGAATACAATTCTTTGGGATTTGCAGTAATACTAGTCAGTGTGATACCAGGTTTGATGATTTCTAAGCCCAAATTACTCTGCAGGTTAGAACTTATCTTAGTACACCTAGAACTTCTGCCACACGCACTGTGTGCCAGTCATCCCCGCCGTGGAAGGGACAGCCCTCACCTTGTTGAGCAGGTGCTGCTACAAAAGTGAAGTGGTCAGGGAGAACTTCCAGGAAGAAGGGACACAGACACTTGCCAGAGCAGCCAAGTCACTGGGAAAAGAAGAGCTGCGTATCTTGGCAGAGACCAAAGGTCAGCACCCTGAAACAGGAGATGGTGGCTGGAGCACCCATGGCAGGGATGTGGAGCTTGAGGTGTTGAGAGGTAAGGCTGGAGAGAGGTGGGTTCTCAGGACACAGAGAAGCATGTGGCTAGTGCAGTGGAGACCGTGTTGGTCACCTCTTCCTGCCAAACACATCACCTAGAAGCCCAGCAGTTTGCAGAAAGCATCTTTCACATTTCCTGGACTTGGCTACATGGTGTTCACCTGGAACTCTTTTGATTCTGGAAACACCTGTAGGTGTGACTGGACTGAGCACCCAAGTAAGGGTTGGTCCTCTGAGCCAGTGGTAGCGGAATGTTCAGATTGCCTGGAGACGAGCGCCTACACGGGGCCAGCTCGCCAAGCCACGGCTTCCCAGCACGTGAAGGTTGGCTCTGAGGGGAAGCACCCCAAGAGAAAGGGTTTCAGCACACCCAGAAAGAAATGCAAGGATTCCTGTGAGCAAGCATGGCGGATGCTCGCCTCTGCTGCCTCGTTCCTTTGCTGCGACATCCCCACAAATGGCTCAGATTCCTGGGATAGGAGATGGGTGTCCACATGGTGTGGGGCAGGGGTAAGCTCGCTCACAGGAAGAGCAGAGGGGATGGCGGGAAAATATGGCTGTCTCTGGAACCACGAGCTCTCCATTTAGGCCTCTTAAGTCCCTTCCTTTGTGACTGTCACCTTGCTTTACCATAACAGGCTAGCTTGGGGTGTTGCCACAAAACCTGGAACTACAGCCTTCTACCCCATCTCTGGACATTCCAGATGCAAATAAATAAATAAATAATGTAATGATTCCGTATACAAGGACAGGGGACACCGGTGCCAATTGAATGGACGCGTCCTTCAGCTGTCTTTGCTACTACACAGATTTCTACACTTTTTCAAGACATTTATGTTGATTTAAAGTCATGAAAGGTTCCAAACTGCATCTATCATACTTTCTAAAGGTGGTTTTAAAAAGAGTTGAGAACCAATGTTGGTTATTACAGAAGCATCATCCAAAGAATGGATTCACTGTGACGGTTACCAAGCGGTCAATGTAGCCAGGCTTCGCTGTCTGCCTCATTGGTGAAACTCCTAATCTACTCCATACTCCCCATACTCCAGCTTCATGAATTTTCATCCTGGTTAAATTGCTATGGTTGTCGGTTTTCCAATGCTGTGACAAAATATAGGAGAAAAGGGGAGGGGAAGGACAGAGTCACTGGAACCCGCCATTGATGGCAGGACATGTATTTCAATCCTAACTCTGAAGTGTATCTATACACTTTGAGCAATTGCAGCCTTGCTTATGTGAGCCAATTTCGTAATGAAGAAAGTTTGTGGCAAAGAGGATGCATTTGTGTGTTTTGTCTGTAGAACTTGTTTTCTAAAGTCATTTCCCTTTTGGCCAGTATCAAAGTCTAAACTGCAAAGAGAAACCATGCCGCTGTTGGCACAATGGGCAAAGCCAGAGAGAAGGTGTGACTGTCACAAATTGCTCCACTTGTCACTAGTCAGCCATGGGCACTGTGAGTCCAGGAGAGCAAGGCGATGACTACCTGGAGGCAGATGACCCATTGGCAATGATGCTGTTCCTGGGCTCAGGTGATTTAAGTTCCAAACACAGGGGACACCAACCTGTGGCGGTGAACACATGTGCCACTTTTCCTCAGGTGTTCTACAGACCCTGTAATGTTGATTCCTGCTGGTGGCTTCCTGCCTTGTCCCCCAGGGCCCTCCATCTGGCCTTCTTATCAGCAGAGAATGTCAACAATGTGTGACAGGCACTCAGGGTTTAATAACCAAACTTATTGACAGGGATTTCCCCCATGGACCCTAAGCAGAAAATGCTGGTCTGTTGCGGTCAGTACCAAAAGAATGTCCCTTCTTGCTGTGGGTCTTTTTTATTGTACAAAAGGTCATGGTGTTATATCCATTTGCAAAACCCCTCTTTCATTTACCACCACAGCCTGGTCAGCTTTCCATCTTTGTCCTCACAGACTGTGATGGTTAATTTATGTGTCGACTTGGCCAGTCTCTGGTGCCCAGTTTTTGGTGAAACACTAGAGGTTGCCGTGAAGAGGGCCTGCACACTTAGACTTGTCAATGTCCACAGAACACATCTTTCCTTTATAACTTCTTTACTTTATATATTTTTGTTTGGAGGTGACCCTCCAAAATGCCATGGTCTTTCTGCCCAGCGGAAAGTAAGAGCATCATTGTGGCATGTCTGATAGGCCTTTGTTGGGTTTTGGCAATCTGATAAGAGAAAAAAATGATCTGTCATTTTACTGTCATTTCCCTTATCATCAACGATGCTAATAATTTTTATGTGTTTATTGACTGTTATGTCCCTAGGGGATAGTTTATCTTTTTCCTCTGAATGTGAGTCTTGGCATTCATTTTCTTGTCACACATCACAATCATTTTCTCCTTTGCTATCAGTTGTCTTTTAACTTTGTGACATGTTTTTTTTTTTTTGATGTAGCCACATCTTTCTTTTATAACTGTTTTACTTTACATATTTTTTGTTTGCTTTATGTTTTTACTTCATGAACACTTAATTTCAAAAGTATATCCCCCTTCGTCTTCTTGTAATACATTTATAGTTTTTTATGTTTAATTCTGCAGTTCATCTGGAATATGTTTTGGTGGTCCATCATTTTAATTCTTCAATCCATCTGGACTATGTTTTGGGGATCCATCATTTTAATTCTACATTCTATCTGGAATATGTTTTGGGGGAATCATCTTTTTCCTCCAGATCACTAGCTAATATCCTAAATACTAGCCATTGTTTTCCTATGGATTTGAAACAGATGATTTATTCTTATTTAAGAAAAATCTATTAAAATGGTTTTATGACTTTTCTCTTTTTGCTGTGTTACTGAGCCTGGTTCCCAGCTGCTGAAGCCCATCTTCTCAAAATACGATTGTAGACCACCTCTGCAGTGAATGGCTGGGTGTCTCGCAACCAGAGGACCAGTGCATGTACTCTTCAGGAATCCTTAAATATTAAAAAAATGATTGGATTCCTCCTGAAACTGACACCACCACTTAAATTGGGACAGCAAACAGCAGGGGCTGAGAACCCAAAAGGCACGGGTTCTCAGGTGACCCAAGTCTTTCAGGACCCTGCCTGTGGAGGTACAAGACACTGATGTCCTCACACTTTCCATAAGCAGCTCTGAGAATCTCTGGTCTTTCCCTCATTTCTCCATCTTGAATTTGACATGCAGAGCCTCAAGTCTCAGCTTTAAGAAGAACACGTAAGAACTGCAAAGGGATCCACGGAACACTATCATGGCTGAAAGATGCTCTCTCCAGCGTCTGTCTGTCTGGAAGAACTGTCTTCTCCTGGGCCTGGAGTTGTGACACTACAAACACCAAACCAAAGTATTGTCAAGTGAACATTTCAGTTTGAATCTTTAGACTAAGTGTCTAATAAAGCTTAAGAGTCCAAAAGTTAGAATCATGAACACTGGGGAGCAATGCTGAGGACAGATAGACACCCACGTTGAAATACACCTTCTGTGTGTGACCTGCCCTGCCCAAAGCTAAGCTGGCAAGGGCAGAGCTCTGCTTCCTCCTGCTGCTGCTTCCAACCCCACCTCACAGCACTGCGTTGTCCCCCCTCTAGAGAGTCACTGTAATACAGTCTCCAATGTCGAGTCATTCTTGAGTTTCTCAGTTAATCTTCATGCATCTTTGTTTTAAATACTTCTGGATTTGATTTCTCAATAATTTATGATTTTTTCGCCTCCAGGTCCATTTTTATGCACATAGAAAGCTGAGATTGCAGGTACGTATGCCAACAGTCTTCACTCATGACATAATTTGGGCAAGTGTAGAGTCATTTAACCAGGCACTCTGGTCAGGTGCTAGAACAGATTAAAATATTTCCCCAAAAATGAATGTGCAAGAGTTGAGAAACGCAGGCTTTAGTTTTTAAATATTAACTCCATTAGTGTCTGGCTTGGTCAACAGACAATCATATTTTCCTTTCCAACAGCCATTGTTTATCCAAGTCACAGATGCCTAAAAAAAAAATCTCAGTTGGAAATTTAAGAATTTAATAGCCATGAGCTATCTAATTCAAACTTATCCAAAATGAGTGCTCAGGGGTAGAGAGCTTGACTAGCGAGTATAAGGCCCTGGGGTTCAATCCCCAGTACTGCAAAAAAATAAAAATAAAAACTTACTCAAAATAAGATCAAAAACCCTTCTAAAAGATCAAATTGGCCATTTAAATACATACACACATGCACACACACACACATGAAGGAAATTAATCACCACGGGATAAGACATTAAATTCAGATTTCAAATTTCAAGCCAATCAAGACAAATTCTTAACTGATGTGTAGATCCCGATTATATGAGTAAACAGAGTCACAAACCTATTTTCCTTGCTTGCAAAATGACAGAAGACAAAGTCACTCTTTTCACAGTGCGTTTTTATTTTAGACCCATGCATTACCTACAGCAATGGCCTCTGAACTTTTCTGTACCAGCTGCTGCTCTTCTGAGCATGGTTTCCTCCTCCCCACCATCACCATTGATCATTCACTTAAGACCAAGAGAAGAAGGCTGGTAGAGTCAAGCTGACTACCTGCCTGCCTGGGTTTTCTGGACACAGGTGAGATATTCCTGCACGTCATCCGGGGACCCCAGAATGAGGGGCACTCGTTGGTGAATGCCCTCAGGTTTCACATCCAGTACGGGCTCGGTGCCTGTGGTTGCCAAACCTCCCGCCTGCTCGATGATATAGGCCACAGGATTACACTCGTACAGGAGCCGGAGCTGTGGAGAAACAGAGGCAGGAGGCTAAGCTTTGCAGATGGCCAAATGCCTCAAGTAAGCCCCTAGACCTGGGGGGGATTTGAACTGCTGAGCTCCGTGTGTTGTGAGTGCTGGTAAGCATGAGTGACTGCCTAAGTATTCAGCCTTACAGGGAGCTGCATGCATCAGCTGGTGTTTACTGTCTATACCTTTAAGGGCGTCTCTGGACACGTGGCTGAGACTGGTATCCATACGTCTGGTGATCTTTGCGCCTATGAGGCCTGCCTCTTGGGTTAGAAATAATAAGGTCTAGATATTCATTTCTTATAGGTTCAGCAATAAGGCAAACTGATTCAGCAGACCTGGCTAGAAACCCTTATAGTTAAGTCCTTATCCCTAGTAAGACATCAAGCTGGGGGAGCTGTAAGATCACCTTGAGAGTGCTAGGTGGTGACCCGGGGTGCTGTGGAAGAAAGCTACACCTCAACTGTAGCTTAAGTAGTTTGCTGGTGTTTCCATGGTCTTTTCTCTTGGCCCCAAGACTATGTTAAGTCCTGTTGTTTGCACTCCCTGATATCCTTACCCCCTTCATAACAGTTATCACACTGAGGTTTGTATAACGTCTGGCTTCCTCCTTATACTGCCCTCCCCGGAGGGCAAGGAGGGTGTCTGCCATGACTGGCCATTGTGGTAACTCCATCTCTATATGTCTGTCATAAAAAATAATGTCCAAGCAGACCACTGCATATCTTGCACAGGGGCAGAAATGAGGGACGGGGTTAACACCGCCCTGCATCTCCTTGCTACACCCCACATAGGACCTGGGGCTGAACCTGGTCAGAGGAAGGCCCCATGAGAGCTAGCAGGTCCCCGCCCTGTGTCCACGAGTACATGGTGAACTGAATTGGATGAGGCTGAACTGGATGTCCTTTGGGGTTCAGTGCTGTGGTTATGTTGTGACTTCCCGGCCCCACCCCCCTCCTGTCACGGGACACACACACATCGCATTAGATTCAGAGTGTCATCGTAGCTGGAGGAATCGGAGCTGTGCCTGCGCTCAATGCTACAAGATCTTTTCCTTCCTTCTCCCCACGGATGCAAAATTTGTGGGGTCTTTTTAAGTTCATTTTTTAAGTTCAGCTTACAAGATAGTTGACCTAGCTGTGTAGCCTTTTCCTTTTCATTCTTTTCTTCAGATCCATTCTGAAAATATGTTTCAACCATGTTGAGAAATAGCCATCCTTGTGCTGATTTGACTTTCATCATCCCAAGGAGAGGAATGAAATGTCTTTGGTCGAGGTTGGAGAGCCAGGTATTCAGAAGACAGTAAGCCAAGACTCCAGGGGGTACTTCCTGCCATTCCAGCCTAACAGTGTACAATGCCCTCACCCTAGACCTTCAGCCCTCAGGAGTAGCGGGCACCTGGCATGCACAGAGAACCCCAAGGCATGTGGCACACATGGGGGACTAGCATCGTCCCTGATCACTCACAGGAGGGACACTCCAGGCTACATTCTTCTGGGAATTCTGGCCAGGGAGACCATCACCTTGGCAGTTTGTAGAGCTTGGCTTTTACCTCTCCTTTTCCTTTGCCCTGGGGATTTGAGGGCAAGGGAAAATTGGGGTGCTGGATAATAAAGTCAGATCGTGACCTCGGATGACCCTGTTGTAGTCAACTGGCCTTTATAGCCAAAGGATTTCATGGTGCTTTGACCTGAAAGCCATGTCTACTCCCTGGCAATTAAAACCTGCACTTTCTAAAAGAACATGAAGATCAGGAACAAATGGTACCTTCAAAGCAGGTAATGATTAAGGTGCAGTGAACACAGACCTCTATGTGGAATGCGTGTGCATTTAGGACATGATTACGTAATTACATGTGCATATTTTCTGATTCATTTACAATGATTTTAATAGTAACAATTAACCTTTATGTTCTACCTATTGGAACCAAGTGTGCGGTAAGAGTGGTTCCACTGAAGAATCTCTACATCTTTTAGTTAATCTCCCTTAGTTCTCTGCTTCGTTTGCCTTCCATCTTGCACAGACTTCTCTGTGCGTCTTGGTCTGACAGATTGATATACGTGAGCTAAACACTCATGAAGAGGAATGACTTATGCACCACTCTGCGTATTACAACCTTGTCTCTGCTCCCAGGTAGGTTTCTTATCTTGGCTTTGAATGTGGCATTCTCTAATCCAAACCTCAGCAGCCAACCTGAATGACACACATAAATGTGGCCAGTTGTTGTGACCAAGGAAAAAATGCAGGTCTTTATGTGATTTGACTTCTTGTGATTGGATAAAATTCAGACATGTTTTTATGGGATGTTCTCCTCAAAATAGATAAATTTGAATCCCAAGATTCCCACTTGATAATGTGAGCATTGGAGGTTGGTGTCATGAAGTTGCAATTAGATCTTCAGGAGCTACCTTTGCACAAATATGAAGAAGTTCTCAGCACAAGTTTTTATTCTACAGCTTTGGACCGCTCTAGAGGATCCTTGAGTGACTTCAGGACATCTATGAACCCTCCAAAATGAATGCAAAGTGCTTGTCGATGTGCATGCATGCTTTCTGGGGGGCGGTGGAAGATTTCACTACATTCTCTATGTAGACAATGATTGCAAGTCAGTTGGTGCTGTTGTCAAAAGTTAGACACAGCCTATGAAAGCGGGAGGTGAACACAGGTTACTCGTGGCAAAAGATGGGCATGAAACTACAGGAAGTGAGAACGGGTAAGAGTCACCAGTCATGATCACGTCAGCCTCCCTTCTCCAAACCTTCTAACCCAGTTGCAAAGCTCACTAACAGAAATAGACCGTGTTTCTCTTCCCTTGCCCACTCATGGACATGTGCCAAACTGCAGGCGTGAGGAGAAAAAACTCCAGCTGACTCACTGAGCAGATGGCCAGCCAGCGCACATGGAAATTACCTTGCCTTTAGGACTCTTCTGGTTGGCTGGGTACATGAAGATCCCTCCATAAACCAGGGTGCGGTGCACATCGGCCACCATAGAACCCACATACCTGGCCCCATAGGGAGCACTGCCATCCTGGAGAGCAGAAAGGGAAAAAGACAAGATGCAGTGGGTTTAGCAACTCATCTCACCAGCATTATGGTCACAAGGCCCAGTTGGTGCAGCCTCTGCATTGCTGGTCCTCGACTTTCCATCCATTAGCTCAGGAACTAAAAACATTATGTAATTGAGCGTGTCATTCATTGAGGACTCTCAAACTTCAACCATTGAATGAACTCATTAAATTCAGGGCTACTTAAAGTCAGAGAAAGTATTCTGCAGCAGTCTTAATATAGCAGATTTGTAAGAAGAAAGAAATAAGGGAAGGCAGGATGAAAAGAAGGAAAGGAGGGAGGAAGGGAGGGCAGGGAGAGAGGGGAGGAAAAGGGAGGAAATGATGGAAGGGAGGGAAGGAGGGAGGAAGGAAGGAGAAAAGGAAGGAAGGAGAAAGGGAGGGGGAAGGAAGGACAAAAGGAAGGAAGGAAAGACAAAGAAAAAGAGGGAAGGTTGAAAGGAAGGAAGGGAGGGAGGAGGAAGGAAGGAAGGAAGCAAGGAAGGGAGGGAGGGAGGGAGGAAGGGAAGGAAAGAGAGAGAGGAAGGGATCTTTATCCCCTGGGGGAAATGTAAACTCCTTTGGAAATAATTCTAAGAAATATGATAATGACAATTTCATTAGTCACCTGTAATGAAAGGAATATTTGTTTGACAAGAACTAAACCAATGGTCATGATTTTTCTTGAAGAAGGACATAACAGATAAAGCACAGCAAGCCATGAAATCATGTCTTTAGGCATTTTTACTTTCTTCATTCAGTGACTCGCCTGCTATGTCTTTGTCTAATCTAATAATTCTGTGACGAAGTAAAGAAAGGCAACAAATTCCACAGGACAGCCTTCCAGAGTTCTGCTTTCCAGCAAAGCTTGGGATTAACTCAGCATGGCTTAAATACCTAGTGCTGATAAACTAAGACAAATTTCAAAATCAGTGCTTTGGCAAAAGAAGCCTTATGGAATTTGAAGACTTAGCACAAGCTCCAGTGAGTAATGGACCAAGACCAGATATTAAGAAATGAAACCAAATCATTGTCCCTTCCTCCTTCCTTCCTGATGTCACCTTAAATTGCTACTCCCTCTTTCTTTTGTGTTTTTCAACCAAATTCTCTTGAAAGAACAGTTTTTACACACTGTCTCTATTTCTTCCCTTTGAAAGAAATGCTTTTAAAACCTATATTGGTTTATTTTTAATTATGGGCAAAATAGAAGACTATGCATGTCATAATTTACTGAAATAGGAGAAGATGTTATAATTATTCATTGTAATTTTTTATTTTTATTGAAATACTTAAGAGTAATTATAGGCCAAGGGAAGGAAACAAACAAAAAAGGCCTGAGATAGGAAATTCAGTAGAGGGGATGTTAAATTTTGAGAGTAGTCCATCAGATATCCCCACACACGTTCTTCTTCAATGTGTCATATAACATACTGACATGAAAGGGTAGCTGAATTTTCACCCCAGGTGTGGTGTCGAGTCTCCAGACCTCCAAAGAAAGCCCTACTTCCTGGTACTCACGCCTGTACACAGTTCCCTATCCGACTGTTCAGAAGTGATGGTCAGTCACTTCTGAGATTAAGTTAGAAAGGACAAGAGGCCAGCTGCCATGTCCTAGGGACATGGTGAAGAGCTGAGCCCTCCATCCAACAGCCATTAGAAGGGAAAGCCACCTGCCAACAAACACATGAAGAAGCTGGGAAGCCTTCAGGTGACTGCAGCCCACGCAGGCGTCTGGAAGCAACCTCATGGCAGACCCAGAACCAGAACCACCTAGCCACCGTGCTTCTGAAGTCCTCGCCCACGGACACTGTGGGGCAATAGTATTTATTATTTAAACCTCAAAGTCGGGAGGGCTGTCCTGTACACCACAACGGATTGTACACTTGTGTGAGTCTGCTGGCATTATTTTCTAAACATAAGTAAACATAGGTAAAATAGCAGTAACATACTATTTAAAACACACAGTCACTGGCAAGACTAGCATCATAAATTCTTCTTATAAATCATAAAACTGAGTTTTAGAACTGGCTTTCACCCTCATTTGGGGATCACCTCCACTACACAAAGAATGACCCAAAGTCTTAAAGCCAACCACCATGCTCTGTCAGTATTTCTTTTCCTTCTATCTGTCCCTCTGAATCTGACTGATCTTTCAAGGGATTCCTAGGGTCCTATGTCTTCTGAGACAGTATCTGTTCTCTGAATTCTTAGTCTTCATCCTGCTGTCCAGCTTTTTTGACATCTCAGCTCATAACTGGCAGTCACCAACACACTCACCTGCATGTGAAGACACCATCTCCACTCACTAGTGCCAGGACCTTCAGAAAAATCACCCAACTTCTCTGTGACCTGGTCTTACTATTAAAATGGGAATAATAACATCTCATAGGACTTTATGTGAGCACTAAAAGAGCCAATGTGCATAAAACACTTAGCACGGGACTTGATAAAAAAAATAATAAGGACATTGCTTAAGAGCAGACCTTCTCTATCGTGTTAACTTCCTTGCCCTCATTCCATTTTTATGAGAACTTCTATTCCATCCCAAGTGGAGCCCGGAGAAGCCACTGTGTGACAGGAGGGTCCATCCCTTAGCTGAGCCTCACTGGACTCAAGGAGGGAACAACTGGGTTGAGTCTGTCTTTTGAGCACATTCACTCTGGTGGTCAAGGTCAGCTGGTTCTTCGGCCAAAGGAGAGGCGATGTGGAACCCTAGATCCCTCCTCCAGCGTCCATAGCTCTCAAGCTCTCCTTGAAGTGGCCTCTGGCCATCTGAAATGGCTTCCCTTCCCTTTTTCTGCCCACGTTCACTGTCTTTCTGAAAGGCTATCCTATGTAGAGTGGTGGCAATAAATAAAATACATTGTGTATTACTCTGGGTACTTCTCATGCACTTTTTTCAGTTAATGCTTATAGTTACCCTTTGAGTTAAGACCTTTCAGTAACCCTAGTTTACAGCTTCGTTCACAGAATGAAGACGTTTGCCAAAGGTACAGAGTCAGCAGCCAGCATTTGATGGGAGGCCATCGCTCTTGGCCTCTACACTGCTTTTTCTTTCCCAAAGTCATTTGCATAATTCTTCCTTGTAAACAAAGCTACCCCGACTTCTGTGGCGAGAGTAGCCACTAGGACACACTGCTGCCCTCTCGAGTGTCTGCTCAGTTTGAGCACAGCTCATACCCTAGAGGGCTCACACTATCACCTTCCCTCTACTGGGCCTCGCAACATCTCCCCCCGCCAAGGAGGCACCTGACACTGCCTCAGTCTCACACTGGCCTTCCTGGATACAGACCCCTCTGTCCTCCTCCTGTCCTCTCTCTGCCTCAGCCCAGAAGGGTTCCCCACCACTGTGTCAGTCAGGAGCAGCACCCATTTACCCACAGCAGAAATTTCTTATGCCTTTCTATTTTTCTGTGGTGCTGTGGGATGGAACCCAAGTTTTTGCACATGCATTCTACCACTGAGCTACATCCCCAACCCAAAATTTCTTACAACCATACATGGCGCTTCTTGGAGCCAGCGATGTGTTCCTGGCTCTCACTGTCCCTCTGCCTCATCAGAATCAGAATCGGGCACTTCCAGGACTTTGGCCCAAACTGCTTTTATGTCAATAAGAAAAAAATTACCCCCAGGACTTCAGTCATGGCCTATGGAAATTATCAATCATTCCAGGTTTCCTGAGACATTTCATGTCAGTCTATCTGGTCCTTTGGGGCCAATCCAACTAATCTGTCATCTTCAATTTATGAAACTTTTTATAGGATTTTATAGAAAAGCAAATGAGCAAAACCAAAACATGCTACAGCCAAAAATCTTACACTAAAGACAGATTTATGTTAAACCTATGACTTTACATTACATTTTAGTTCTTTGATTTGGTTGAAAAATTCCCTTGCTGTTTAGAGTTCTTTTTTTTTTTCAAGTGCTGGGAATTGAACCTAGAATCTTGCAAGTGCTCTACCACTGAGCTACACCCCCAACCAAGAATTCTTACTTTTTTTTTATTTTACAGAAGGCCAGGTCTTTAAATGAAAATTGAAATAACGATTAATGTATGGGACTTGACAGGCTAACACTGCTCTGAGTTAAGTGATTGACTTCCTATTTTCTAAGAGTGACCAGAGAGTCCTGAAGACTCCCTCAATGGCCACCAGGAGCAGAAAAGAGACTTTTCCACATGGGCAGATTTTAAAGAGTGAAGAGGAGATCGAAACAGCCAACTTTCTAGATTATAATTATGAAGCTGACCAGAGAGGTCAACCAGAGACCTCTGACCAGAGGTCTGACCAGAGAGCTGGAAGGGGTCAGAGAGGGGGAAAAAAGCAAGAACATCTAGTCCTAAACTATATAGTACCTAGATTAAAGGATTAACAACCATCAAACTTGGCTTTGTGTTAAAAGAAAAACAGCTCTGGCCTTCTAACCTGTACCCTGACGTGACAAAGAAATAAGGGATCCTTTGTCACATCATTTCAGCCAAAAAAAATAGTCTCAGGAGCCTTGGGCCACAGCCCCAGATTGAATAAAAAACTCACAAGAAGCCTGCAAATCTTGACTCTCTCTTGAGAAGCCAACACTCCCTTTCATGTGCCGTCTTTCCACTTCGCAATAAAGCTTCCTCCCAGTTTCTTCCTTAGTCTTATCTCTGAAGTCTTTCCCTGGTGGTGAAAAATCGGGAACACTGGACAGAAGTCCCCATCTGGTCTCCCCAGCCTTCACCACCAGCAACAATTTTCTAAGCCCCACTTGCTCAGGATGCTGATCGTGACAATAGGAAAGTTAACCTATTCTGTACCTGATCCACACACCTCCCCCTCTGTTATAGTTCACCACATCCATTATGAATTTGTGGATTGGTTTTTAAGACCTGGTGGAACGTCTAAGAAGTTAATGTTGCTACCTCTCATAACAGATCATAAAACCCATACTGGTCCTTACTAGGGTGTTGTTTTCGGGGGGTTTCCAGTAAAATGGAACCTAAACAAAGGTTAAGGTGATAGGATGTAATGGGACAGAACAGGACAGAATGCAATAAAACGGAATAGAGTGGAATGGGGAAAACACATTAGATTGGCCTAGAATAATAGGGAGTTTTGAAGCAGGAAACATCAGGAGAAATGAGGCCCAGATACAGCAGCCAGGATTCAGAGGTAAGTACTGTACTAATAAATTCCTTAATTGAAAGTCTACAGGCACTGTTTTCTTTGCTTTAAGCCTTACACCCCCCTCAATAAGCTGCGACATTTAGTAAAATGAGAAAGGGGTTGGGCAAAGAGCAGTTCTCTCTCTGACCTTGTTGCTTGATCAGAGATTAACACGCTCTGAGAATGAGCGAGGGATCTTAGAGAAAGGCACTTAGCCTGGAAAAAGAAATAGAAAAATTATGTTTAAAAACACATATACACTTGGGATGATGACGCGTTTGATCATAAAAATGTTTGCAAAGAAGAGTAGTAATTTCAAGGATGGACACTTGTCCTAAAAGGAGCCTCTGACAGTCGATACCCATCCTTTCAAGCACCCAGGTCATTATGTCCCAAAATTTAGTAAACAAGCCAACCTTGAAAATCTCTGGGCCTAGTTGATAGAGCAGTGTGACAGCAAGAATAACAGAATATACCAGGTGTCCAGAACAAAGAACACCCATCTCAGAGTAAATGAGTCCCAAAACCACTTTTCTCACCATGAACACCCCTAGTGTTAGAACACTCGTTGCCCCTGTTATCAGATGTGCCCACACCTCTGTCTTGGCTGTGTACGTACTATCGTTCTGTCTTTCCGTTCCTTTGCTTTGCTTTACTAGGAAAGTTTCTTGGTCTCTTCCTCAGAGTGTCCTGAAATTCTTTGTGTGTGTGTGTGTGTGCGTGTGTGTGCGTGTGTGTTCTGAGTTAGATGTAAAATACATTTTCTTATGAATGGTCACAGTCAAAAAGGTTTGAGAAACCTCTGACTTGCATGTTTTCTCTCATACGTGGAATATAGGTCCAATACAAACACAGCAATATCATGAAAAACAGGTCACGCTAAGAGGGAGTCGCTAACAGGAGAGGGAGGTGAAAGAAGGAAGTCAAGAAGGTGAAGATGGCTGATGTACTTTCTATTCAAGAATGAATATAGAATTTTTAAACCTGTTGAAATCACCAGAAGAAGGGGACTAAGGTAGAAAGGAGAAAAATAGAGGGGAAGAACCAGTTTAGGTTATAATACATATATACATGGAGATATCACAAGGAAACTCCCTGTAGAGCTATCTTAAACAAACAAAAATGTCTTTTTTCTTTCTTTTTTTTTTTTTTTGGTGGTACTGAAGTTTGAACTCAGGGTCTTGTGGTTGTTAGGCAGGTGATCTACCATTTGAGCCACTCCACCAGCCCCAAAATGTCTTTTTTCAAAAACTGAGAACAGGAAGGTAAAATAGGTCCTGTCTGGAGGTTGGCACCAGTAAGAGGGGGGAGAAGATACAAGGAAAGGGTGTAGGAGGGTGACTATGGTGGAATATTATGCACTCATGAATGAAAATGGAAAAATGAAACCTGTTGAAACTGTTCCAGGAATGGGGGGAGAGGATAAAGGAGAGTGATAGAGGGTGAATTCAACTATGATATATGGTAAGAACTTCTGTAAATGTCACAATGTACCCCCAGTATAACAATAATAAGATAATTTTTTTAAAAAAGAAAGATTACCCTGGGAAAAAGGTATGGAATTGCTGTTTTCTCTAACCATTTATAAGAGGACTTAATTTCCCATCAGGAGCACTATTCACCTTTAAAATTTTTGTCAGTCTCATATTTGGAAATGAGACTGTAATGCTGTTTTCAATTTGCATTTCTTCCTTTTTGTTGGCTGACTGACCATGTGTATGTTTTTCCTGTGACTTCATGATCGCTTCAACTTCTCCTGTTTTCCTATCTGGGTGCTTGTCCTTATCTTACTGGGTTATAAGGGGTGCTGTGTCACAAGAGTGTTCCCCTGGTGTCAGTCATAGATGTGGTAATTTTCCCTAATTTGCAAGTAAACATTTCTTTTTGGGTGGAAATTTCATTTTTCATGGTAAAATACCTATCTTCCTTTATCATTTCTGGAGTGGGCATTTTTTAGTCTAGAATTGGAACCAGTATGAAGCCATCTTTAAGACTGGGAACTTTGCTGGGCAATGGTGGCTCACGCCTATAATCCTAGCTACTTAGGAGGCAGAGATCAGGAGGATCATGGTTCAAAGCCAGCCCAGGAAAATAGTTCATGAGACCCTATCTCAAAAATACCCAACACAAAACAGGGCTGATATAGTGGCTCAAGTGGTAGAGTGGCTGCATCGCAAGCATGAAGCCCTGAGTTCAAATCCCAGTACCACCAAAAAAAGAAGAGTGGGAATTTTTAAATGTTGACTTTCTCAACCTCTTGAGTCTTATCCTGTTCCCTTTGCCTCAAGACATCGTGCAGGTTTGTATATTATAGTACAATAGCACCCTACAAAGGAAAAATAGGGAACTGCACTTCTGATAATTCAGCTTTTAAAACATGAGAGAGAGAGAGAAGAAAAGTCCCTAAAGCTTCCATTTGAAGCAACAAAGGCAGGTCCCAGCATTCTTGACTGGGTGCCATCTGGTCCCGTGAAATCCTGAGCTCCTTGCCCTTGGAGGTGACCACGTGGGCACACCACACGTTGGTTTTTCCACCAAATGGGAAAGGTCCTCTCTGGACTCATCCTCCAGCATTTGGCAAGACAGGACACAGCTTGTTAAGCTTCACTTCACTTTCAGCTCGGGCCCCACCTCATGTACTTGACTGTGACACACAGCTGGACCACAGAGATCCTTAATGGACAGTTGTGGCTGTATTCACGGCCACATGGTATCCAAAGCGTCCTGGAACACGGCTTAACCTCAAGACCCTGACGTCACAGCCTGTGAGTAGGACTTTCAAATATAATTATTCCGTCAAAAAGGCAAAGGTCACTGAACAACCAGAGTCCACCCATTGTGACTTAGGAAAATAAATGACTTGGAAGAGGTTCTGGCCTGAACCTCTGAATTGTGAAAATGTGGTCCTTATCCTCCTTATGAACAATTTCTCTGGAGCAACTCAACTGGACAGTATTTCCTTTAGTGAGTAAATTCTAGCTGCAAAAGAGATTATGAAGTATGCCAGACCAGAGTCGCAAATAATGGAGCCAAAATCTTAAACAGAGGCCTCAAAGCCACCGTCCAAACAGAACCCCACTGAGACAGTGATCTCCCCGCCACTGGTCTAGGCTTTCTTCACTCACCTCAGGGAATTTCTTCTTCTGCACATACTCCGTGGTGGCTGCATCAAAATACTTGGCGTAGCCCTCATTGAGGCTGTAAATCTTTCCTTTCTTCTTAATCTTGACATCTTTATCCACCAGCACGAACTCACCCAATGCCTAGAGAGAAGAAGAGAGAAACAGATACTAATGGCACCCCCCCCCGACACACACACACACAAGCAGAGGCCTGCTGGATGGACACAGGGGGCTCACTGTGGTCATCCTAGACTTTCCCCTGTCATGGCCCCATGAGTGGCAGAAACAGCAGCCATGATATCAAGCCTACATAGGAAACTCAAGCAATAATGGACTGAACAATTAAAAAGGGAAGGTGCCCATGGTCTTCATTCTTTCCCTTTCGTCCTCCCTATGTTAGTGAGATCCCTTATTTCTTTAAAAAAAAAAAAAAACTAGCTGTATTTATCCACAAGATAATCTGCAAGTTCTTACCTCAGTTTCATGAGTTCGGAGGATTCAAGCTATCAGTTATAATTTGAGAAAGAAGTTATGAGGAGGGGGGAGAGATGCAGCTTGGCCATTAGTTCATTACTACGTGTCTGGTAATTTTGTTTGTATTCTGTCTACTCTTTGCTTTGCTTTTGGGGACTGGGATGTGAGCTTAGGGCTTCGAGCTTGCAAAGCAGGTGCTGTACCGCTTGAGCCATGCGTCCAGCGTTGATTAAAAGTTCCTTATCTGAAGATAAGAAGGAATCGCTTCAGTCAGATACTGTATTCCCTCAGCATAAGGAAGTAGATGGAAAAATTTAAAGAATCCTTGGCGTTATTAATAAAATTGTGCTCAGTGCCCCCCCAGTAACTTGAAAGTCACCACGACCCATGACCGCTTCTTCAGCTGTGCGTCTGCGCCCGCCTTCCTGCCTCCCAGATAACGGGTAGGACATTAACCATGAGTGGCACCCACTTCCAGACAACTTCCCATCTCCCGTCTTAGAATCATGGAGCACAGCCTGCGCTGTCATAAGCCCTTAGGTCTCAGCTCAGCACACCACATTCCTCGGGGTGCCACTCCCCCTCATCCAACATCTTTTTATCACGATGGTGCTTGGCTCCTGAGCAAAGCCAAGATGATCTTTGCTGCTTTGGAGCCACCCAGCTCAGCGCTCCGCTTCTTCAAAGCACCTTGACTTCCTTTACTCTCCTCTTGGGATGGCCGTCTAGGGAGACTCTGATCTGGACCTCGGTCGGGCACAGGGCACAGCCTGGGAAGTTAGAGTCTCCTCCCTGTGGCCCTCAAGACCTGAACAAGAACACAGAAGCGGTGATGGCTCCTAAGAGTCCTGCTTCCTGGTCCTCTAGACTTTCCCAGGTGTCACCTGGGTCCTCGCTTTGCCCTATCTTTTATGCACTTGAAGCTCTGGCTTATAGCAAAGAGCCTGGCAGGCACACAATTGTCATCTAAGGAATTTCAGGTCCCTGGAGCTTTGTTCCCTACTGCAGGGCAGGGACAGCTGAGGAGCCTTACCACACCTCTATGTCCTGTCACACCACTGGTGACTTAACACGGCCCCCCACAGGCTTTGCCAGCGAGTACCTGCTTATCAAGTACATCCTTTGGCACACAGAAACAGTGTCTCACCTGCATTTGGCTGAGCCACCAGGGAACTCTGTCTTGGGAGCCCTGACACACAAGGTCCCTGGCTACTCCCAGGGCACTTCTACCTGTGACAACGGCCATAGCTCCTTCAGCTTGAAGGCCATATCCCAAATCGTCCCAAAGCTTCATACAGCAGGTCTGTGGTCAAATGTCATTTTTAGTAGGGTGACATGACCCAAAGTGTCTCAAGCTGATAAAGAAAGACGGGGAAAGGTTACACTAGGGGTTGCCTCTCTTTCTGACCTGCAGACAAGCTCTTGTGCCTGCCTCTGTCCAAGCTGGGCCCACATGTCACGACTGGCGTCAGAGCAGAGGCTCCATCTGTGTCCCTGTGTCCTTGCGTTAGATCCTGAGCTGAAGGCACCTCCCACGGCCTTCAGAACCTCTTCAGAGTGGACATGGGCCGTATTTGGTTTGCACTCGAGGGCAGTTTGTTAAGAATTCTGTCGGGCTTAACAGTATAGCAAAGGACTGCCTATGCCTGGCTCTGGGCACCACCAACCACTAGCACGACCTTAGACAAGTTACTTACTGTCACTCGCTCAGTGAGCCTCACTTGCTGCATCAGAAAATGGGATGAACTAGAATAGTAGGGCTCCTATAACTCGTGCGTGTCCACTAACAGATGTGAGTTCTTAGAACAGGTAGGTACCTACCCATCACTTACCTGGCATGAGCTGTCAGCTGTTACTCTACAGCAATTTTAGAAAGACCGCTTTATTGTCTGAGAATCACATTTGTAAACAGAATTTCTCAGGCTCGCCTACTTCTTTGAAAGAAGGGAGAATGGGGCTATCAGTGAACTGACACAGGAAAGGGTCTTGACCTGATGGGTTTATACGTGAAACATTTATGTCTAAAAAGTTCCTGTGAAACTCTACTGTGTTTTGAACTTTTACAGCCCCTCCCTCACCTGCATGCACCAACCTGCGAACTCCACAAAGGCTGCAATGTCTGACCAATGCCATGTCACCACTGCCTCAAATGGTGCCCTGGGGCCTGGGAGGTAGATGCTCAATAAACACTTGTAAACTTGAACTTTTCACCACGCGAATACTGGAGTCTTTGAAATGGTCAGAAGTCAAAATTATAAGGGCTGTAACAAGATCTGACTGCATCTGGTGAAGCAGTTCAGAAGTGAAAAAGCAAAGCACCCACCATTTAAAGGAGAGATTCTATAGCTTGGAAATCGTTTCCAGCCAGGCGCTGGTGGCTCACACCTGTAATCCCAGCTACTCAGGAGGCAGGAACCAGGAGGATTGTGGTTCGAAGCCAGCCCTGGGCAAATAGCTCACGAACCACTATCTCAAAAAACCCCATCAACAAACAGGGCTGGCAGAGTGGGTCAAGCAGTAAAAAAGAAATCTTTTCCAAAACTTCTCCTGGACATTTTGAATGTGCTTATGCCATGAAAGCTCACCTTAATCTATTTTTTTCCTCAACTTTTTCTGATTATTTCTTCCGCCAGTCATATTTTTCATCTCTTCTACTGCTGAGCACTGGGTCACCTGGGGTCGCAGTGGACGGGGCACAGAATGACCTACAGCCCGATAGGACTGTGGGAATGACATGTACCTCAGGGGAAAGCCTCCAGGAGGGCGGCCACTGTCCCCTGCAGCTACTTAATTTAAACGAAACAAAATGTAAAAATCCCTTTTCTCAGAACACTGGCCACATTTCCGATTTGGTGGCCATGGAGCCCACAGGCAGCTGGATGGGACAGCGCAGATGACAGAGCCTGTTCACCATCACAGAAGGTCCTAGAGGCTGGTGGTGCTCTGAAAACTCATGATCCAGTCAGGAAGTTGGCAGCACTGGGATTCTTAACCCATGGTGTCCCCATAAACCACAGAGGGTGAGCGCATTTGTAGAGAATCAACCCCTTTCCAATAGCTATGCGTAAAGGTTATGGCTATGTCACCACGAATAAATAATGTTTGAAGAGGTGAATATATTTGGCCTGACTTGAACATGACTTATAATATCCTGCAGTGCTGTTAATATGCTCAGTTTAATGGTTTTATGAAAAATAAATTTAAAATAAATTCCATAAGCAAAGGCCAAGAGTTGGTGTAACTGACTCTACGGAATCCCCACCCAAATGCCTTCAGGGGTCCCCAGTGTTGCTCACGATGGCGTTAGCTCCCCAAACGAGGCTCTTAGGATCCAAAAACAAATATGGGAATAACCAGGAAATTATCACAGGGAAGAAGAATTCAAGCACAGAAGTCCCCAGGGGCAGATGCCGCAGTGTACGATACCTACTGGGTCCAGCATGAAGAGGTCCACACCTTGTCCCGTGGAGAGGGCCACCAGCGTGGCACTGCCATAGAGTGCATAGCCAGCGGCCACAATATTGCGGCCGGGCTGCAGTGCATCCTTTTCCGAAGGCTCGTCTTCTGTGGTCTGCGGCAGATGGACAGAAAAACATGGTCCCTGATGGTTGTCATCGGAGAGAACCCTTTGCCAGAGGCCTGGCCTCCAGATCTCTGGAGTGGGGAACCCTAAATTAACCCTGAAGACCTAAGCCGCTTCCCCTGCTCTTAGTAAGTCTCCATCCCCTTTCCCCACGTCTCAACTCATACACATCCCAAGTCCCATCCCAAGGAGGCAGATTTGACACTTGCTCTTCTATCTCCACACGCCTGGCCGCCATTATGGTTCAAATGTCAAATGGAAGGACCCCCAAAAAAGGCTCAGGTATTGAAGACTGGGTCTCCAGTTGGTGGCACTATTTTGGGAGGTTCTGAAACTTTAAGAGCTAAGGCCTAGCTGGAGGAAGTTGGTCACTGGAGGGAGGTGTCTTTGGCAGCTGTATGTTGTCCCAGGCTCCTCTCTCTCTCTCTCTCTCTCTTCCCCCTTTCTTCCTCTCCCTCTCCCTTTCTCCCACCCTGTCTCTTCCTCCTTCTCTCTCTCCCTCCCTTTCTTCCTCCCTCCCTCTCTCTCTCCCTTCTTTTTTCCCTCCTCCTCCTCTCCCTCTCTCTCTCCCTCTCTCCTGCCCTGTCTCTTCCTCCCTATCTCTCCTTCCCTCTCTCCCTCTTTCAGTCCCTCTCTCCCTCTCTCCGTCTCTTCCTCCTTTTTCTTCTTCTTCTCTCTCCCTCTCTCCCTCTTTCAGTCTCTCTTTTCCTCTCTCTCTCTCCCTCTCTCTCTTCCTCCTTTCCTCCTCCTCTTCCTCCTCCTTCTTCTTCTTCTATCTCTCCCTCCCTCCCTCTCTCCTTTCCTCTTTCTCCTCCTTTTTCTTCTTCTTTTCTCTCTCTCTCTCTTTCTCTCACTTTTTCATCCACCATGAGGTAAAGAAGCTCTTCAAACAACCATGGACTGAACTCTCTGAAACTGTGAGCCACCGTAAATCCTTCCCCTTTTAAGTCGTTCTAGCAGTTTTCTGGTCACAGCAACAAAACACTGACTAACACAGCTGCCTCGTGAATAAACTCTAGCTCTCTTGCCAAACTTGCCCTTTCAGTGATTGACATAAGCCCTGGGTCTGACTGGGTAACGAGTTCAGTTGCAGCAAACGTGTCCAGGGGAAGTGAGCTGCCAGGGAGAGCACTCCACGCTGATGAAGTCACTTCCCTCTCATCACCATTCCAGGCCAGACCAGGCGAAAAGGTCACCCCCTATCTCAGTAGGAAAGACTAGGTGTGGTGGTGCACACCTGTCATCCCAGCTACTGTGGAAAGCACAAATAGGGGTATTGAGGGGGTGGGGGGAAGAGGGAGGGGGTGGAGTGGGTGGTAAGGAAGGGGGTGGGGGCAGGGGGGAGAAATGACCCAAGCATTGTATGCACATATGAATAATAAAACAATAATGGGGGGAAAAAAAGCACAAATAGGCAAAAAGTGAGATCCTACTTCAAAATAACCAGAACAAAAAGGACTGTGAGGGAGGTGGCTCAAGCAGTAGAGTGTCTGTCTAGCAAGCTCAAAACCAAGTTCAAACCTCAGGGCCACCAAAAAAGAAAGAAAAGAACTGATACCCCTGTGTGTATGATCATGAGTGATTTTGTGTAAAATATGTTTTTTGGAGCCAAAGAAAGGAATCTCTAGAACCAGCCCAGCACCTGACAGGGGGGCGGGTTACCCAAACAATCGTCCAGGAGACTCCCGGCACCTTCTGCCTTTTAGGCCTGGGGACAGAGGCCCAGCCATCCTGATGCAGTAAAGGCCGTTCTTGGAGTGAGCAGTCTGGAGCATGGAGCCTGGCATGGCTGGATGAAGTAATGCTGGATGGTCCCAAACCAACCTTTATGACCCTCACCTCACTGTGGCTAGGCTGCGTGGGTAGGCAGAATGTCCCCAAAGCTATCCTGATCCCTGGAATCTGTGAATACGTTATCACACAGCAAAAAGGATTCTGCAATATTCGGGGCTATGGATTTAAACTAGGAAGATTATCCTGGATTTTCCTAATTAAATAAACACTTGAAGGCAGATGACTTTCTATGGCTGGGGCAGGGGAATGACACAAAAAAGTGGGAGAGGGTGTCAGAGAACAGGAAAGCCTTGTGCCTTTACTGACATTGAAAATGAAATGGCCACAAGTCAAAGAACACAGGCAGTCTCCAGAAGCTGGAAAGGATCCCCGGCCATCAGCCAGCAAAGAGTCCCGGACGTCAATACTACCACCGAATGGACTGCTTTAGCCTTAGAAGCAAATTCTCCCCTCTCCCACCCAACCTCTGCGTAAGAGTGCAGACTGGCTAGCACATGGATTGATTAGGATTTATGGAATCCTAAGCAGATAACCCAACCAAGGCTGGTCAACTCATGAATGACATAACTAGCACATAATCGGGGATTTTTTAAGCGTCTAGGCATCCGATAGATTGTCATAGCAGCAACGAAAAACTAATACAGTCAGAATTGAGGCTTTCAAAGAAATAGGATATGCCTAGAACCCAGTACAGGCTAAGCATCCCTAGTGAGAAAATCTGAAATCTTAAATCCTCCAGAATCTGAAACTTTCTGAGTGTCAGCTGCCATGCATGGACAATTCCACACCTCATGGGATGGATTACAATCCAATTGCAGGTGCACCGAAAATACAGCATAAGATGACATCCAGCCATGTGTACAGATGTATATGGAGCATAAATGACTTTTGTGTTCATATTTGGGTCCTGTCCCTAAGATATCTCATTACATATATGCAAATATTCCAAAAATCTGAAAAAGTCTGAAATCTGAAACACGTCTGGTCCCAAGCATCTTGGATATAGAAAATTCAGCCTGTACCATGTCTGACATCTGTGTTCCACCTGGACATTCAAAACGAGGTTCCGTGGATCCTTTCACACACACACACACACACACACACACCCCTTGCCCAGGAATGCCAGGAAGAAGGAAGAGAGAGAATTACCACTGAGGAGCCTGGGGCAGAGAGGGAGGTTGCTGGTGTGTCCACAGCGCCATGTCTAATTAGTAGGAGGACCAGTTAGCACCCCAGTGTCACAGTCCTCAGCCCAGGAATCCTCCAGCAACCTCCACAGGAAGGAGGCTTGAAATGTGAGCCCGTGCACTCACCTTTCTGTAGATGGCGAATATGGTCCCAATGGAAGCCAGACAGTCAATGTTGGAAGATCCATCCAGGGGATCGAAGCACACCACGTACTTCCCCTAAGTCACAGAGGGCAGAAGCACCAGTCAGCATGGCTTCCCGTCAGTACAGTTTGCTCCAGCTCAGGGCTGCGTGTGGCAGACACCTCTCAAGAGAGACAGAGCCACAGGCACTTTCTTATCAGACACTGGCATTAATTGTGGAGGGCCACTCAACAGGTATTTGGTGAGGTCCAGCTGGAGAGCACGCTAGGGTTTACTCCTTTTGGCCTCTCCCCAGACGGGGAGCGTGCAAGGCAGTGGACTTCAGAATGGGGTGCTAGCTGCGAGTCTCGATTTATGGAACTGGTATTTCGCAGAGAAACACAGTGCACAGGTAAGACACACACAAGTAGGGTGTGGTGAGTGCTCTAAGGAAAAACTAAGCCAGTAAGGAGTAGAGTGGGGAGACCCCCAGTTAGGAATAAGGATGAAGACACACAGAGAACTAGGAAAGGGAAGTCTGGGCAGAGAAATCAGTGAGTGTTCCTCACATGGAAAACAGGCACAGAGTATATCAACAAGTAGCAAGTAGCCAGGCAGGGTGACACACACCTGTAATCCCAGAGCTCAGGAGGTCGAGGCAGGAGGAACAAAAGTTCAAGGCCAGCCTGGGGTACCTAGTGAGACCCTTATCGGAAGGAAAGGAGGAAGGAAGGAAAGGTGAAAGGGAGGGAGGGAGGGAAGGAGAGGGAGGAAGGGAGGGAGGAAGGAAGGAAGGAAAGAGGGAAGGTGGAAAGGTGGGAAGGAAGAGAGGGAGGAAGGGAGGGAAGGAGAAAAAGTGGGAAGGAGGGAAGGTGGGAAGGAGGGAGGGAGGAAGGAAGGAAGGGAGGAAGGAGGGAAGGTGGGAAGGAAGGGAGGGAGGAAGGGAGGGAAGGAGGGAAGGTGGGAAGGAGGGAAGGTGGGAAGGAGGGAAGGTGGGAAGAAAGGAGGGAAGGAGGGAAGGAAAGGAGGAAGGGGGAAGGGGGAAAGGAGAGAAGGAGAGGAAGGAAGGAAGGAAAAGAGAAGAAGAACTAGCATGCAGACCTATGCCGCCCCGGCTGAGTGGGGAAGACAATGGTAGGTTAAACTGGAGAGAGAAACTAGGATCGTACCAGTTAAGAGAAAGTTAAAAATAACAGGTGTTACTTGACTTAAGTTACGTTCCACAGTACCTGGCATGCAGTGTGTGCTTAATAAATGTGGCTTCATCTCTTCTATCCTTTCAGCTAATCATAGAGAAATTCCCCTCTTCCCATACCTGATGTATAAAACAAGAGCCAATAACCCACGTCCCATCTTCACCACAGTGCAGCCGCTGAACATCGGTTGAATTTGGGGCACCAGAAAACCTCTCTCTTTAATCAATTCCTGGTGAACATAGAGTGAATACAGCCACACTTTCCCCCTTACATTAAGGCAAGAGCACGGGGTCTCCATGGTTCATTTTCTAGGTTAATCGGAGAGGTTTTCAGGCAAGGAAAAATCCTCCTGAAACACAACCCCCTTGAGGATGTGTGGGGTGAGGGTCAGAGATGAGAAATAGGGATGGGAGGAATAAGAGGCTATGTTGTACAGCTCTTCCCAGAAAGAAGACAACTTACCCAAAAATAAACTGTACTTTTTACTGGACTCCGCAAGTCCAACCCCAGAGAGATGCCAGCACCTCTTAAGACATTTCAGTAAGTCTCTTGATTTATCTCACTGCCCTGCTGTAAAGCCTTATGCAGGAGACAGCGGACGATTTCCAACTAAAGAAGCATGCAATCCCTTGTTTCCAGAAAACCAAGAAAAAAAAGCCAGGAATTAAAGGCCAGCCAGGCAGCAGTCTCCCGGCCCTGTCTCGCCATCTTGCGGCCAGAATGGGAACTGCACCCCACCACAGGACGCACCCTCCTCTCCTTGGCGGTGATAATGGCTTCTTTATTCTCTTCCGAGACCAGGACGCAGGTGCTGTAGGACGACTGGAGCATGTTGATCACCAGGGAATTGGATAACACATCCAGTTTCTTCACCTCATCTCCTGTCACATTCACGCTGCCTGCAATGCCGTACCTGAGAAGATAATGGCTGAAATAAACCACTCAGGGAGTCCTAGGACCACCCAGGGCTGACACCCCAACGGTGCATCCCGCCTTTCCTTCCCTGTCCCTGCAATCTCCAAAGCATCAACACACAGACGTCTATTATGCCCACCGAGGTGACAATGGCTCAACCTTGAAGACATTGTCAAATGCCATCCATCTCCCAACGAGATTAACCAAACTCGATCTCACTAAAATACAAGCTCTACCCTAATGGGAGGTAGAGAGGATGGAAGAGCTCCTGCAATCAGAACTGTCACCGTCATTAAGGACTCCAAAAGGCAGAGGACCATGGTCTTCTAGCACCTTCAGGCCTTCCTGAGTTGTCTTTAAGTGGGACTGTGCTGGATTGAATTAAAGAATGACTTGGAGACCGGGCATGGTGGCTCAGGCCTGTCATCCCAGCCAGGAGGGAGCCATAAATAGGATGATGGTGGACCAGACTGGCCTGGAGAAAAATGTGAGAGCCAATTCAAAAAGAAACTAAAAGCCAAAAGGGCTGGGGGGGGTGGCCCACATGGTAGAGTGCCTGCCTACCAAATCTGAGTTAAACCTCAGTCCACCAAAAAAAAAAAGAGGAGTAAATTGGCATTACATGAACTAGAAGGAGCTCAAGGGACAGATTTAACTAATTTAATTTACTTCTTCACCACTATGCCAAGCAAGATAAGAAAAAGTATTACCATACAACTTCTGTCTAGGGATTCTGGGCGTGCCTCGGTTGCAGAGAATTTCCTGTCATGCAGAAGGCCCTGGATCCCAGCACTGAGGGGGAAAAAAATCTACCTAGAGCCTTTGTGCTTTGCAGCAATAATGTGCAAAGGTCTCCCTGCTCTTACCTTGGCCGCTTCACGATGTTCCCAACACAGCAGCAGGAGGGGTCTTTCTAAAAGTCACAGTATTCTTGTATCACCCAGAGGCAAAGTCAAGCCCCCATGACAGCATCACACGCCATGGAAGAGCTGTTCCCACAGAGCCCTGGCCACCTGACTCTCTCACCTCCCTTCAACCAGTCTCAGCCGGGCACACTTCAGCCTCATGGCTGACTGACCACCGGCCTTGCTGCCTTCCAAGAGCTACATAACTGCCCCTGCCCCCCTCCCCATTTTAGCCTGGACCCAAAGGTCATTTCTCAGCCAGGCTTTCCACGGCCACCTAGCTAAAATAGCAACCCCCAATCCTAGCATCTTTCTTGCCTTATCCTTCTCGTGATGGAAGGGGGTGCTGTTCTCTGTTTGGATAGAAATTGTGCTCTCAGCTTATCGACCCTGCCACAGTGAGGCTCAGTCACATCTTCCCGGCCCTCTTGAATCCCACCAGCCCCAAATGTTCTATGACCTCTGGCCCCCAGCCAGCCACTCGTCTCTGTTACCTTCTGTCTTGTGACTCAGTGTTTCCTCTCCACCGCCCCCCCACTCACCCTCCTGCTCGTCCAGCATGTCCCCATCACACACTGCGGGCACACCCTGTCATCCCTCCCACGGTGGCTGGCAATCTGCGCCTGGGATGTCTTTCCTGCCACACTATCTGCTTGCTCCCTGAGGGCGAGAACTCGGTCTTACTCTCTGGGTTTCACAGTGCCCCAGATGCATGGAGAAAAAAGGACAGGAGAGAACATTCCCTCCACTCTTTATCTCAGTGCTATTCGTTTGTTGAAGGAATCCTCAGGTGGCACTAACAGGTGGTCACCATTGAGAACCTGATCTTCCCTAACCACACTCCTCCTGACTGACAGCCTACTCTCCCCGTCCTGCCCTGTCACCCCCACCATGTCACCTATAATGAGCCCGGTGCCTTTGTACAACAACCCTGGCAGCCTGACCTCCTAGCTCAAGACAAAAGCAAGCAAATGAACAAAAACAAGCCAGTGGTAACCACAGTAACAGAACCGGGCTATTTTGCATCAATACTTGAAGGGACCGGAAACCCAGTCATCTTGGAATCTTGACCCCACTGGTGCTGCTGAATGAAGAGCTCGAGTTCAAAGCCATGTGGGCAGAGCTGAAAAATCGACTCTATCTGCCCAGTGCTTTGCAAACTCACCACCATGATATCCTGCTAACCTCACCCCTACCCCAGCCACACCCACCCTCCCTCCATGTCCTCTTTTCAGAAAGAATAGAAACTCACGTGACCCAAGCCTTGTATGCACATATGAATAATAAAATAATAATAATAAAAAAAGAAACTCACAACAAGGTGTCATTGCCAGCAATTGCTTTCCAACCCATGGGACAATGTCTTTTTGCACTGTTAACCCAGGTAAGCATTTTAGCACCAAAGCTCGTTACAGCTTCTAAATGGCCTAGAAGGGGGTGAAAGAAAGTCGGGGAGGGCCTTCCTTCCGGGCGGGCACGCCAGCTTAGCACTTCTTCCCACAGTAAGGAGAGGAGAAAGGCAAAGGGGACTGAGCGTCTCTGCTAACTTTGTAATTCATTTATTTATCTTCAGGATCCACTCCTGAAGCTTATTCACACGGCTGTTGGCCAGAAGACTCGGTTCCTCCCCACGTGGACCTCTCCCAGGGGTGCTCCCTTGTACTTTGTGACAGGGAGCTGGCTCTACCTACAACAAGCAATCCAAGACATCCAGGCAAGAGCTGCAATGTCTTATAATTTAGCCTTGGAAGTCACACACCGTCATTTCTGCAGTACCTTTTATTCTCCTAAGCCAGTTCTAGGCAGCATAGGAGGGAACACAGATGCGTTTCCAGCAGGAAAGGATCTTTTTTTCTTTGGGGGGGGCACATATTTCCTTGATTTTTTTTTCCTTATAACCTTCTAATGTACCATATGACATTTTTCAGAACAGGCACAGTGGCTTATACATGTAACCCAGCTACTTGGTAGGCAGAGACAGCAGGATCAAGGTTTAAAACCAGCCCAGGCCAAAAACAAAAGTTAGCAAGACCCTATCTAAAAGCAAGCTGTGTGAGGTAGGACTCTTCTGTAATCCAAGCTATGCAGGAGGCAAAGCCAGGAGGATCCAGGTCTGAGGCCACCTGAGCAAAAAGTACAGGACCTATCTGAAAAACAACAAAAGCACAAAGGGCCGGAGATGTGGTTCAACTGGTAGAGCACCTGCCCAGCAAGCATGAGGGCCAGAGTTCAAACCCCAGTACTGCCAGAGTGTATCCAGCCTGAATCTCAAAATGCCCCCCGAGAAAAGGAAGCAAATGGATGAGAGGCTTGAAGTCCACTGAGGAGGACAGTGGATGTCGCTGTCTCACAGGCAGAAGTTCTTTGCTCTGTGAGAAGGAATTCCAGGGATCCAGGACCCTTGCCTCGGCCGCAAAAAAAAAAAAAAAAAAAGTGAAATCCCAGCGTTCTCTTTCCAGGGCTGCCCACCTACTGGTCAATCCTCCGAGGAGGAGCTTGCGAGTGTAGACGGATCACCCTGAAATGTCACTGCAGAAACTGCCTAAGTATCGCAGGACCCCGAATACAGGGAGAGACAACGATGCTGTTTACTGTCACTTGGGGAACCCATCACCCAGCAAGAGCCCTCAAAGGCAGAATTTGCCACGTGGGGTAATAACACGATTATAGCAATCCACAGTCAGGGAATGCGTCTTTAACTCGGGAACCATTGCTGGGTCTCACAGCCTTTTATAAATAAAGTCTGTAATGATCTTATGGTATTTACATTTTCTGATATAAGGCTCAGCTTTTGTGTTCAAAGCACCACGTCGTTAAGAATAAACATTTCATACAGTTGGACTTTGTTAGCTCTTCATTTTGAGTTACCCCAAAAATGCAGATCCCTTCAACTTCTGAGAAAGCCTCCACCGGAATGGCTACAAAGAAAATGCAAGCCCAAAGAAGGTGGCTTCTCGTTGTCACAAATTTAAACTGGGCACTTGACTGTGACCACCAGCAGCTAGCTGAAGCATGAATTGACCTCATTCTGTACTCAGAAAAAGCACCACAGAGAACTCTGCTCCCCTCCCAGCTCGTGCACACCAGTGCATGTGAATAAAGAAGTGCAATTTATGAAACACGGGTCACACTAAGGGTGTCACACACGGGGGCGGGGGTGAAAGAAGGAAGTTAAGAGGGAGAAAATGGCTGGGCTGGTGTACTTTCTATACAAGAATGAATGTAAAACTTTTAAACTTGTTGAAATCACCAGAAGAAGGGGACTAAGGTAGAAAGGAGAAAAATAGAGGGGATGACCAACTTGGGTTATAATACATATATGCATGGAAAGGTCACAAATAAAATGTATAGCTATCTTAAACAAACAAAAGTGTCTTTTTTTTTTTTTTCAAAAACAGGACAGGAAGGCAAAACCTGTCCTATCTGGGGGTTGGCACCAGTGGGAGGGGGGAGGATATAAGGAAAGGGTGTGGGAGGGTGAATGTGGTGGAATATTACGTACACATACATGTAAATGGGAAAATGAGACTTGTTGAAACTGTTCCAGGAATGGGGGAGGGAGGATAAAGGAGAATGGTGGAGGGGTGATATATGGTAAGAACCTTGGTAAATGCCACTATGTACCTCCAGTACACAAATAATACAATTTTTAAAAAAGAAAGAGCCACAGAGAGGAAATTTTAAAACACAGCCTGCAAAGACTCCCTTCCCTGGTGAGCAAGGAAGGGGAGGAGAGGGACCTGCCAAGTTTCCTGTTTTGTAAATGATGTCTAGGTCCTGGCGTATTTGTAAAGGCTGTGACCATCAAACGCTGAGATCTGCAAGGGTCATCAAGAGATTTTTCAAGATTCCAGAGAGAATCTGTCCAGGCAAACACGAGCCAGGAGCATCCACTGTGTGCTTTCATACAAACCCCCGCCCTCGCTACGCTAATAACTGGTGGCATTTTTCCCTTTGTGGAGACGTGTCACAGGCTCCTTTCTCTGAGCACGCATGACAGAAACATGAAACCCAAGTTCCTTGTGGACAAACAAGCATGGGACCACCTGCAGCTCCCACCCCCAGGCCTCAGTCGTGCGTGTGTGCATGTGTGTGAGTGCATGTGTGTGTGCATATGTGTGCATGGAGGGTGGTGTGCATGTGTGTATGTGTGCTCGTGTGCCTCTGTGTGTGTGTGTGAGCATGGGTGTGTGTGCATGTGTGTGTGTGTGTGTGTGCATATGTGTGCATGGGCGGTGGTGTGCATGTGTGCTCGTGTGCCTCTGTGTGTGTGTGTGTGCATGGGTGTGTGTGCATGTGTGTGTGTGCATATGTGTGCATGGGCGGTGGTGTGCATGTGTGCTCGTGTGCCTCTGTGTGTGTGTGTGTGTGCATGGCTGTGTGTGTGTGCATAGGTGTGTGTGCATGTATGCAAGCTCCCCAGACTCACAGGTTGGCCAGGCCGGCCTTGCGCACCGCTGAGGAGATGGCTTTGATGGCAGTCAGCATGGAGTTGAGCAGCTGGGTGAGCTCCCCGGTGCCTTTGGCCTGGCGCCCCTTCTCCATCACATAACGGGTCAGGGTGAGCATGTCCGTCTCGAAGGGGCTTCTGTCCGTCATGACGGCTAGCAGTGTCTCAGTCCTCTCTCTTTTTTCCCCTGTGAGAGCCCTCGCTTGTCCCCAAGGGCTGCAGCCCTGCAGTGTGCAAGCTGATAAGGAACCTGTGCAGGCCTTGCCAGGATCTTTAAGGGAAAGTCCAAGCCACCATGTGACAGCCCTCAAGGAACCTCTCTGGCCTCAGGACTGTGAGAGCTGCCAAAACACCGTAACCGAGCTGTAAATAGAACTGGGCTGTCCCAAGCACAGGCCACTTCTTCTTCACGCACTCACCTTTAAAGAGCCATAGAAGCAACTGGGTGGTCACAGCAGCCAGGGGAGAAATTCAACAAATAAAAAAAAAATGACCCCTAAAACTCCTATCTTATATAGAACACCAAGGATTTCTTCACACACGTCTAATTGCACAACCTGGTCTCCCGTGCGTAGGTGGCACATTCAGATATCTGGGGCATAGGTCACATAAAAATAAAATAAGAGCAAGTTCGGGATCTCTTTAGCCAGGGTTCTCACAAATAAATTTGTTTCTGGTTGCTCACGCCTGTAGCCCCAGCTATGTGAGAGGTGGACGTAGGAAGTGGGAAGACCTCGGTCTGAGGCTGGTCTGGGCAAAAGTGGTAACCTTCACCTGAAAATAACTAAAGCAAAAAGGACTAGGGTGTAGCTCAAGTGGTGTATGAGCATTTTGAACTCAAGGTCCTGAGTTCAAATCCCTGTATCTCCAAAAAATAATAATGTCTTCTTTCTAGAAAGCACGTATGACTGGATGGCTGGCCTACTGCACAGGAGACGCCCAATCTTTACTCTTCCAGGTTTCCAGTGCACTGTAACAAATGCGTACGCATACGTGATTAAGAATTTGCAAGCCAGGCGTGGCATGGTGGTGCACACCTGTAATCCCAGCACTCAGCAGGCTGAGGTAGTAGAATCATAGTAAGACCCTGTCTCAAGATAAGAAATAAAATAAACACCAGTAATCTGCACACTGCTCCTCAATTTGATATTTTTCTCCTCGACACTTATTTCAATTAGGATTGTGTTTAGCGATGAGTAATAGAAAAGTCAGAGTACATGTGGGTTTTGTCCACCCTACAGACCATGAGTTCACCAGGCAATCACTGTGGTATTATTTCAGCTGCTCAAAGGCCTCATTAAGGACCCCTCTGTGTCCCTTCTCTACCATCTTGGGTCTTGTAGCTTTGTCCCCCCTGCCTCTCATCCTGTGGGCACAAAGTGACAACCACATCTAAGTCTACATTGAGGACCCAAAAGAGGGAGAAAGGACAACTCCCATCATTTCAAGTGCCTCTCATTAGGGAAGAAAAACCTCCCAGAACCCATCTTCCTGCTCCCAGGGGATGTCCACATCCCTTACAGAGCACTGACCGGATTTGTGTCATGTGACCACCCTCTGTGAGAGCTGAGTACCAGTATGGGATCAACCACTCAAAAGGAGCACTCACCTCACAGTGGACAGGAAGCAGAGAGAGAGACAGACAGACAGATGGACAGAAAGGGGCCCAGGATAAAAATACAGCCCCCCCAAAGCATGCCCCTAGTGACCTACTTCCTCCAGCCAGGCCCCAACCTCCTAAAATTTCCAGAACCTGCCAAGATAGCGCCCCCAGCTGGGACCAAAGCCACCATATCCGTGCCATAACACTCGGCTGTGTTCCAGCTTGCGGACGGACGTCAGACGATTTGGGGAAAGTTTGTTCTTTGAGCGCATGTTGGTCAGGTGCCTTAGTAAAAGCCAGCCACACAAGTGTCAGGACACTTTAATTTTGATGTCACCAGGGTCAAAGCCAGAACACTTTCTTCCCCGGAAGCCTCTGGGAACTGAAGTGTGTAAAGAACTTCCTCTGATCCTTAGAAGTCAGTCACACAACCCAGCCCTGCCTTTCAGAAGGGGAAACAACGATCCCTCTGATGCGTACTTTAGAAAGAGCGGTGGCTGGAATTTGGAGTCCTGGGCCAGTGGACATCTTCAGGTAAAGAGAGCCGCCTGCTATTCAGTCCGTCAACATGTGAGTAAGAGGGCGTCCCTAGAGAAATTAATGTAAAGTCACACAAAACCCGTGCGTGAGTTTTCTATCAGCTGTGTGTAGGATTGTCAGAAACCCAGCTCCTCCTCTGTCACGTAGCCTGATTGTGGAGGTGCTGACTTAAACCTATATATTGTATTAAATTCACAGAACTGTGCTTTTTATGGGGGGTGGGAAGTGAGACAGGGTCTGGCTACACAGCCCAGTCTGGCCTCAGCCTCACGTATGCTGGGATTACAGCTGTGTACTACCATGCCTGACTTCTGTACTTTTTTTTAGTCAATTTTACTGTAAAACCAAATGCAAAGTCAATCGTGGGCAGTCTGCAAACCGTCTCGGTCCACCAGGAAGAAAGTTGAAAAATTAGACAATAGCAATTTTGCTATGGTATGTTTGGTCTGATTATATTTATTAAAATATAAATTTATCAATGAAATGTCATTTCAATTTAAATGAAGTTACAATGCGACATTAAACAATTAGGGCTTATGTTTTTGTATGTGTTTATTTTGGCGCTTTTATAGAAACTTTTCTTTTACCATTTTAACCATCCTAAGTGTACAGTTAAACATCTTAAGTGTACACCATCCATTTCCAGAGCTTCCTCATCTTCCCCAACTGAAATACGAAATTAAACATGACCTCCCCCCCAGCCCCTGGCAAGCACAATTCTACTTTCTGTTTATAAATTTGGGTTTTAGGTACCTCACATGGGTACCTAAAACCCCATAGTCTTTGTTCTTTTGGGACTGCCTTATTGCACTGGCTAGCATATATCCTCAAGGGTGACCCATGACGTGGGCTGGGGCAGAATTTCTGTCCTTTTTAAGGATGACTAATTCCATTACACGTAGAGACCACATTTTGTCTGTCCACTCATCTGTCTGAACACTTGGATGCTTCCACTTTGGGGGCATTGTGACTGTCACTACTACAAATGAGCTTCTGTTGGTGTCCCTGGTTTCATGTCTAGAAATGGAGTGGTTGGAGCACGTGGTAAGTCTGTGTTCAATTTCTTGCTATGTCGTTTTTTTTCACAGTGGCTGCACCATTTTCAATTGCCACCTGCCGGGAGCAAGGACTCCAGTGTGTCTACACTCTCACCAGCACTTGTTATTTTTTTTCTTATACTGGCCATCCCAGTGGGCCTGAAATGGCCTCTCGTGACTTTAGGGTGGCATTTCTCTAACGATTTGAGATATTGGATATCTTTTCGTATATTGGCTGGCAGTTCCAGTAATTCTTCATAGTATATTTTACAAATGTATCTGCTCACAACAGACTGGTAATGAGCAGGACAAACCAACAAGCCCACGTTTCAGCACAAACAACTGGAGAGGCCTAGGCTGCTGAGCATTTTGTGGAGGTCAGGAATGGGAAGTTGGGGTGATCTGGGGATCAGGAGGGAGAAGTACTGACCAGTGTCATCACTTCTCCCAAGAAGGGCCTGCTATTTCGCCACCATCTAGCCCAAGCGGACAGCAGGCACGGCAGCCATGACCCTTCACGGCTCCATCTAAATGTTAAAAGTTCAAGTTTCCCACACAGCCTGAAATCGCAGCTGCTGACCTTTCAGCAAATGCCAGAGTTCCATCAGGGCTCACGACGGAGCCGTAACTTCTAGAGCAGCTGTGGGAGGCCAAGGGGAAGGGAGACCAGCCACTCCCTCTCCTAGATATTTCAGTGCCCCGGATACACTGGTGACCACAAAGCTATTTACGACCTTGCTATGCCTGGTGACAGACACTCACATGCCTGAGTCTGGGTGGATCCTCTGAACGCATAAGGAAGTCTTGCTTATAGGGCAGGGCCCTCCACCAGAAGACCAGGATCTACAAAAAATGTGACTCTAGACTATTGACCGGGGACCACTCTTGGTTGGCAAAACTCTGTATCTTTTCACGGAACCCCTAAAGATGCTGTTTCATACAACCTCAGCATTTCTTGCATTACGGCATGACAGACATCTTTGGGGTAACTGCTTAGCTATGATCCCCATCTTGGAGAAAAATCCATCAGAGAACTCAGAGTCACATTGATCTCACAGGACTCTGGCTTCTGGCTACAGCCGATTGGGCCAGAGGTAGACACTTGACACAAGCTGAGCCGAACAGGTAATTTCTCCCAGAAACTTAGAGAGACCCAGACACCAGTAAATCAGGTGATAACTGGAACTAAGAAGATCCTGTCCTTAGGGCTACAGAGGCAGTGGGTGTGTCCTGCCTCTGTTCGACAAATGCCCTTGCTCATTTAGCCAAAATGAGTGGGTCTCTGTTACAGAAAGAGAAAATGCCTGACTACAGCAATAGACATTGCAATTAATACACTATTATGTTGCAATAATTAGCATTTCTCAAAGAAAGAAACTGAGGCTCGGAGAGGCTAAAAAACAAACATTACTGCACCCAGTCTTGCTCAACATAGCCCAGGTCAGGTTACATTAGCAAGACCAAATCCCAGTCACTTAGTACAGCAAAGATTTATTTCTTCACATCACACTCTAAAATACACAGGGAGGAGGCTCAAACGTCTGGCCCCCTGCCATGTTGTGACACTTGTCATTAAAATGTTTCCCCTCTGACTTTTGACAAAGGCCCCAAAAGCAGACACTGAAGAAAAGACAGCTTCTTCAACAAATGGCGTGGGGAAACCTTGATACCCACATGTAAAAGGCTGAAGCTGGACCTCTCTTTCTCACTCACCCTGAGCAAAAATTAATTCAAAATGAATCAAAGATTTAAATGTCAGACCTAAAACTTTGACACTGCCTGAGGAAAATCCTGGAATATATAGATATAAGGTAACACCTTTCTGAACAGGATTCCAGTTGCTCAGGACAGAAGAACAAGAGTTGACAAACGAGACTGTATCAAATTAAAAAGCTTCTGCACAATGAAGGAAACAATTACTAGAATCCAGAGGCGAGCCACAGAATGGGGGAAAATTGTTGCCAGCTATTCAACAGATAAAGAACTCATATCCAAAATACACACAAGCGCTCCAAAGATAAACACCAAAGGAACAAACAATCTCATTAATTAATGGACGAATGAATTCAACAGTTCTCAAAGGAAGAAGTACCAATGGCTAATAAATACATGAAGAAATGTACGGTCCTTAGCCAGAAAGGAAATGCAAGTCAAAATGACCCTGAGATGTCATCTCACTCCAGTCAGAACGGCGTCATCAAGAAAACAAACAGCAACAAGTGCTGACGAGGCTGCAGGGAGAGGGGGAAAGGAAGGAGCCCCCCGCACACTGTTGGTGGGAATGTAAACTAGGACGATCACTTTGGTACAGAGATTCATCAAAAAGCTAAAAATAGACCTGCCTTATGACCCTGCCATATTACACCTAGGTATATACCCCAAGGAATGTAAGTCTACACCCAACAGAGACACCTGCACAGCCATGTTTGTGGCAGCACTGTTCACAATAGCCTAGGCGCCCATCAACCTACAAATGGATAAAGACAATGTGGTCTATGTACACAATGGAGTATTAGTCAGCCATAAAGAAGAATGAAGTGTCGTTTGAAGGAAAATGGATAGAACTGGAGAACATAAGGCAGACTCAGAAAGGCAAATATCATTGTTCTCTCTTATATGCAGAATCTAGATCTGAAGTTTTTTCAATAAATGACAGAGTATAAAACAGGAGACCTTTATGGGAGTGGGAAGCAGTGAGCAGGAGGAGGATGAAGGGGAGGGTGAATATGGTTGAAGTACTTCATATGCATGTAAAAAAATGAAGAATGAAACCTGTTAAAAATTATTTCAAGTGGAGAGGGGATAAGAAAGAGAAATAGAGGGGATGAATTTGATCAAAGTACATTATATACATGTACTGAAATATCCCAGTGAAATGCCTTTGTTAATAATACATGTTAATAAAAATGCAAGTTTCAGAGGTGACATGGAAGGGGAGAGAGGTGATGACCAATTGTGAGTTGGTGGCCAACCTGGAAACAATGTATGTCATCTCCAACCTTCATCCCCACTGGCCAAAACCCAGTCATATGGCGCTCACTTAAATGCAAGGGATGCTGGGAAATGTAGTCTTCTTGGAGGTTCAGGGAAAGAGGAAGGCCTGGTGAGCATGTGGTTGCTTTCCACCAGCTCACACAGCTGGGAGAGGACAGACACAGTAGTTGACCTCAGATCACCCTGATCCAGCGCAAAGCATCTCCGTCAGTCACTGAGGCCGCACTGCCTTCTCTGCAGCCCACCAGGACACCCAGCACAGGCCCAGTTCACCACCATCCCTGCCCTCCTCCGCCCCCCGCACCCAGCCTGTGGAGCTCCTGCCCCTAAGAACTTCAAGGAAACCAACAGTTTTTTTCAACCTCAGTGAAAGGGTGGGATCATGTTGAGTTTAATCCTCCAAATTCCCCGGATGGTGTAGACAAAGCCTGTGTGGGCCCAACGCCCCTCTGAAGAGATTGGCCGTGTCAAAGAAGAGTGCTCTCCAAGCTCTGATGCACAAGGGACCCTGAATTACATCTTTGGGGTACATGATTAGATGTTTCCTTTGACGGCCACAAACCAGGTAGCTTCAAACAAGATAAATGCATAGTCTTAGCATTCCAGAGCCCAGAAGTCCAAAACCAAGGTTGGGAACAAGGTCAGGCTCCCTCTGGTGGCCCCAGGACGGGGACCCTTCCTTGCTTCTTCCAGCTTCTGGTGGCCTTCCTTGGTTGCCTTGGCTTGTAGCCACACTCCATCCTCTGCCTCCCTCTTCACATTGCCTCCTCCTCTGCGTACCTCCGGTAAGGACGCTTGCTACATTTGGGTCGCCCAGGTAATCTGGATAATCCGGTCTCAAAATCCTGTCTGCAAAGACCCTTTTCCCAAATACAGTCACATTCACAGGTGCCAGAGATTTGGATGTGGACATGTCTATTGAGGGGACACCATTCAAGCCACCACTTTCGGTCACATTGAAACTATTCCCAATTCTGAAGCTGGGGACCAGGCTACAGTCACTGAGGGGGCTTTGGGACCTAATGGTGCTCAAGTGGACCCTCCCCTCTCCTCCCCTCCCCCTCCCCCGTCTCGGGCATCCCATCAAATCCCCAGCAGTATGGGCTGTGTCTAACGTGCCTGTGGTGGCAAAGCGAGGCATAGGGTGGCTTCAAGTCACACCAGAAGGATGCATTCTCAGCTTTTGGCAAAGGACACAAAGCAGTAAGTGCCCTACAGTGGCAAAAACCCAGTGCTGATTTGCTTTGAAATACTTAGAATTTAGGTTTAAGACTAAGTATGGTCTTAAGTTGCAAGATGAGAGGGAATGCGAAAGTCTCTTAGGGGCGGCCAAGGGCCTCCTGCACACCCTTCTGACGCTGACACAGAGAGGTCGGTGGAAACCCCCACAGCCAAACGTGGCAAGGCTGGGGGACCCTTCCCTACGCAGACAGAACACCGTGTGCCTAGTGAGGAACGGAAAGGGTCTCACGTTTTAGGGGCTCCAGAGCCTGCATTTCTGTGCATCTCTCTTGTGTCACCCTCATCTACCCAAGCACAGCTGCTAAGGACCTCCATGGTCACATGCAACTCTGAGATTTAAATCACTGTTCTTATACTTCTCTTGATTGTATGGTTTTTTTTTTTTAACCTGATACTGGGAATCGAACCCAGAGCTTCGTGCATGCTAGGCAAGCATTCTACCACTTGAGCCATGCCCCCAACCCTTTTGTTTGTATTTTGGTTTTTGAGATAGGACCTTACTAACTTTCCTAGGACTGGCATGATCCTCCTGCCTCCACCTTCTGAGTAGCTGGGATTACAGGTGTCCACCACCAACGCCTGGCTTGGATAGTGTCCATCTTGCTCAGAGCTGGATACAGAGAAAGACTTGGATGTATCTGAAGTAGGATGCAAATAGGCATCTGTTGAAAACATTTTATAAATGAGCTTATGGCTCCTTGATGGGGAGTACCGAGTGGACTCCCTCATAGGAAAAGGCTCAGTAGTCAGAAAAGGGTCAGCCATGGGAAAAGGGTACATTTCCTTCAGTGCTTGAGAACCAGAAGCCAAATGAGCTGCAAGAGGGTTAAAACCTGGGCTGGTGGAATGGCTCAAGTGGTAGAGTTCCTGCTTAGCAAGCACGAGCCCCTGAGTTCAAACCCCAGGACTGCCAAAAAAAAAAAATTTAAGGAGGTTAAAACCCAAAAGCTGCTTTGTAAGTCAGGGGACTTTCCTGTGAGGGCCAGCCACAGCCAGAATGAAGGAAATGCTAGATTTGGGTCCCATCAGTGGACAAAAGCAGATCATCCAGTGCTTAGGATCAAACTTAATTTCCAGTAGAAAAAAACATGGTATTTTTTTTATGTGCAAGTACTTTTTTTTTTATTATATTCATATGTGCTTACAATGTTTGGGTTATTTCTCCCCCTGCCCCCACCCCCTCCCTTACCACCCACTCCGCCCCCTCCCTCCCCCCCCCAATACCCAGCAGAAACTATTTTGCCCTTATCTCTAATTTTGTTGAAGAGAGAGTATAAGCAATAATAGGAAGGAACAAGGGTTTTTGCTGGTTGAGATAAGGATAGCTATACAGGGCATTGACTCACATTGATTTCCTGTGCGTGGGTGTTACCTTCTAGGTTAATTCTTTTTGATCTACCTTTCCTCTAGTTCCTGTTCCCCTTTTCCTATTGGCCTCAGTTGCTTTTAAGGTATCTGCTTTAGTTTCTCTGCATTGAGGGCAACAAATGCTATCTAGCTTTTTGGGTGAAAAACATGGTATTAATGGGAGGTGTTTGGAGGGAAAGAAGCAGGATTTACACAAACGCCTGTTTTAAGTTCACAAGTGAAATCCATACACACACACATTTTCTCTCAAGAAAGGCTTAACTTAACCTGGTGCAACTTGCCATGATTTTGAATTTCTGATCCAGAAAGAACCAAGGTTAGTTGAAGGCTGAGCTATTTATTGAGGGAGTTTATCAAGAAACACATCTGCTTGCCACAAACCACACTGCCTTAAATCTGGTTCCCTCAATTAATGCTTTTCCTTATGGGAATAGATCTTAGGACCTATTAGGCTTTGCTAGTTCAACTAAGCACTGTGCTGTGTAGAAAAATGACCATAGTAACTTAAAACTTTGTGACTCAGATGGTCACACCTGCATGTGGGAGATCAAGAAGCCATACACAGCATTGCCAGGACCTAAGTGACAGTTCCACTTCTAGGGGGCATGACTGTCTTGTTCAGTCAGACCTGAATGGAACATATAGAAAAGAGAAGAAATACATTAACCCTAAATTCACTGACCAGATGCCTGGGTTCATATCCCAGCACGCCTGGCTGGAGACCTCGGACAGATTTCTTCAACTCTTGGGTTGTCCATTTCCTCACCTGTAAAATGGACTATATTGTTTGGTTTTTTGTTTATTATCATATTGTTGTGCTGAGGGTACATTGTGACATTTATAAAAGTTCTTACAATGTCTCATAGTTGAATTCACCCCTCCATCATTCTCCTTTATCCCCCCCCCCCACTCCTGGAATAGTTTCAGCAGGACTCATTTTTCCATTTTTATTCATGAGTGCACAATATTCCACCATATTCACCCTCCTACACCCTTTCCTTACATCTTCCCCCCTCCCATCTCTGTAGAGATGGCTCTACAGGGAGTTTCACTGTGGCATTTCCATATTTATTAATGCGAATTGGTTCATCCCCTTCTATTGACAGTGTTCCATTCATAAGATTCATTATTATTTGACACAAAGCATTAACGACTTCTTTTAAAAAGGATCAATATGTTAATTTCTCCTCCACCCACTTAAAATACATTGCCCACCGGTGGCAGTGGGGAGTCAGCCCTGGAGTAGGGCAGCACCGGGCATTAAACAGCACTGGATCTGAAAATATCTGTGTTTTTATGTCTGCGGTCCAGGAACGTGCAATGCACAGACAGACAGGGTATGGCCACATGAGATCAAAGGTGCAGATAGGTAAAAGGTCATCCTTTGAAAACGCCAGTCAAGGCCAGCTCTTCACTTGGTGGAGTGCTTCTTATATATCTCCAGGAACTCCCCCACGTCGTCAGGGGACCCCAAGATGACTGGCGCCCTCTGGTGGATGTCCGTGGGAACGATGTCTAATATAGCCTCCTTCCCGGTGGTAGCCAATCCCCCTGCCTTCTCCATGACAAAGGCCATAGGGTTGCACTCATACAGCAGTCTCAACTGGAAAACAAGACAGAGAACAGTGTCCTCAGTCCAGGAGGTGTTACTGAGAGAGGGGACTTGTCCTAGAATGGACCAGTGCCGTGGGGGGAAGAGGGGGCAGTTTCCAAGGTAACATGCAGAGTCTTTTTTTCCTTCTCAAAATTCCCTCCTGCTCCAGGTTACATCTAAGACAAAATGATTATCCATTTGGTTAAACAGAACCATTCATCGAGCTACTGCCAGGCATAGACTGCCTGATGCAAATGTGAGGCCGACCACCTGGATGCAGGACAGAAAGACGTTTTGGCAGGACCAGCGGTTCCTTTCTCTTTATAGCTGGGCTTAATGAGTGAGTCTGTGTGTGTTTTGGATGGAGCATTGCCTATCCGGAAAGTATTTCTTTAAAAAAAAAAAAAATTCACGGTAGTGTCTGGCCACAGACATCTGGAAAGCAGCCTGGCTCCTCCAAACAGTGTGATATTGTTTCCAGCTCTGTGTGCATTCCTTTTGTAACCCTCCAAGGCTCCAGGCTTGGGATTTAGAACATTATCCATCTTGGCGTTGACTTTTAAATATTAACTTTTTATCGTATGCATTTCCATGCAGTCTGCCCACTGAGCAGACAGCTTGGTGCAGGTGTTTCCTGACTCTTATTTCCACCTAGGTGTCAGGGCCAGACTTGAAAAACTGAGAAAAAAAAATGGAGGAGGCTCAACATTTGTGTGAAAGAATGTCTTTTTGAGGCATTAGAGAAAAACGCTAGAAAGCAGGTTAAGCAAAGCCTTCAGTGAGCTGGAGACCATGTTAGCATAAACAGAACTCTGAATATATCCAAAATGTATCAGTTGCTAATTATCCTAAGGGGATTATTGATACAAAAAAAAAAAAAAGCAGGCACCTGTGTACTGGAAAAAAATAAACAGGACATAATATTTGACACAATGTCACCTTGTGTAGAAGAAAAGCCAGCATCAGAAATCATGGCCCACCTGTGGCTTGCTGGGAAGACGGCTGGCACAGGCCCCTCACAGTCATAGGGAAATTATCTGAAAATTCTGGATTTTCCCAAAGATTCCTTCTTTCCCTAAATGGTATCATTTTCCAAGTAGCAAATTTAGGCTCATTAGGTATTTCTATTTTATGCCTTTTGAAAGCCATCAAAGGTCTCTATTCGTAATAAATTTTTGATTTGCTGTCTTGGTAATAAGATCAGACGAGTTCATTTCACTTTCTGAATGGAAGTCATTTTGTCCAAGCCAAACCATGTCCCCATAAGCTCCTTCAGTCCCTTCCCGACCACAGCTCCATCAGTTCTCTTTTGCCACAGCATCCAAAGGGCTCTCAAGAGAACGTTTTTACGTTTAGTGGATATTGTCTGGCTTTACCTTGAATCTAGAAAGGAACATCCCACAGATACCCTTAGCCACCAGCTGGCCAAGTCACAGCTATCATAACTTTGCTTTCTTCCTAATGAAGTCAAATCTCCCAGGCCAGAAATGAAACCCACAGCAACTCCATCACTTCTGGACGTGGGGCAGGGGGTGCGTACCTTTCCGTTAGGGCTTTTCTTGTTAGCAGGGTACAAGAAGATTCCCCCATAGACAAGAGTACGGTGAACATCAGCCACCATGGAGCCTACATACCGGGCACCGTAAGGAGATGAATTATCCTACAAGGTTAAGAACAATGATTAGGGTAGCAGAAAATCAACAGCCTTCTCTTTGTGTCCCCTGTACTTCTAACATCCCACAGTCATTTATCAAAGGGGCTGGGGAGGGGCTCAAGTGATAGAGTGCTTGCCTAGCATGTGTGAGGCCCCAGGTTCAATCCCCAGGACCACAAATTATAATAGTAATAATCTATCAAGCACCTTACAAAGTGTGCATTTGGAGCTGTGTTGAGAAATGAGATGGAAATTCCATTTCCAAGAAGCAGGAAGTGAGAAAATGGAGACAGCCTCCTAGACAGCCCCCATTAGGTGGTGTTATGGGCAGAAGCCCCAAAGAGGGTGTGGTTGGTTCTGGCTGAGGGGTTGGAGCGGATATCACAAAAATTGTACCATCAAAGGTTGAGAAGGGGTTTGCCAAGTTGAAGAGCTGGACAGGAGTGGAAGTGTGCACTCCCTCAGAGGAGGGTCCTGAAGGCGTCCGGGGATGGGACATGGGACTGAACCAGGACAAAGCTAGAGAGAAAGCATGGATACCATGCTAAGATGTGGTTTGGGGCTCAGAACAGCAGTGGCTTTTAAGCAAGGATGCAGCCATCTGTACAGCCGTTCCTTCTCTTCACGTTCACGAACTCTTTAGAGAGATGCCAAGGGGGACACTCTCAGTTGGGAGACCACAGACGTAAGCCTGGAGGGACAGGGACTGACCGCATGGCAGGTGACCAGGTGGGAGAACCACATTTTGTCCTTTTGGGGAAAATGTTTAATTGCCATGAACTCTTTCATCTGGTTCTTCTTCCAAGTGACAAAAGATTCAAATTACACTCCAATTTTGGGATCTCAAAGCAAAATCCTGGTTCTAGTACCTAGTGAGAACCTAACTACAGACTCGGTGCTGAGCAAGTCTGTGCCTCCTTTCTCCTCCAGGGTAAATTGTGGATCATAGATTCCCTCATAACTCAAAAGTCCCAAACAAATAAGGTCCAGGGTCCTTCTCAACCCCACAGGTCTCTTTTCCTCCCCTGAGAGCTGCCCCTTTGTACCAGACGCCTGGACACTGCACCAGCCCCACCTTGGCACCCCTCACTTACTGGGGGGAACTTTTTCCTCTGGACGTACTCAGCGATGGCAGGGTCAAAGTCCTTGGCGTAGCCCTCGTTAAGGCTGTAGATGTTACCTTTCTTTTTGATCTTCACGTTCCTGTCCACCAAAATGAACTCTCCGATGGCCTTTGTAACACAGAAGGAAAAGGAAGGCAGGTGAGAGCTGTGTGCCCCAGGCATGAACAAGACAGGCCATGGGCCAGGCCTGCCGGGGCTGAGCAGGGCGGGGTGTGGCTCGGTCGCACCTCACCTCAGGACACCAGTGTCTCCTGCCAAATGCTCCAAGAATTGTGACTTAAGAGGCGGTGAGGAGTGAAAAGGAACAGGGGAGAGGGAACAAAAGGGTGATGGAGAAGTTGACGGGGACTGCTCGTTTCAGTGAAACAAGAGGGAGAGCAGAAGCGTGTAAAGTAACAGTCAAACCAGAGAGAGAATGGGAATCATGTCCAAGGCAGTGCCTTCACACACCACAGACACACACACACACAGAGGTGCAGATGGACAGTGGGAGGTCAGGAGATGCACGACATCATTACGTTTCTTTTCATGATCATTTTTTGCTGGTACTGGGATTTGAACTCAGAGCCTCATACTTGCTAGGCAGGTGCTCTACCACTTGAACCATGCCCCGCCCCCCCCCACAGCCTTTTTTGCTTTGCTTATTAGAGTTATTTTTCAGGTATGGCCTTGAGTTTTTTGCCCTCGGGCTGGGCTTGAGATTCCAGGCGTAAGCCACCCACACCAGGCTCTACATGTCTATCTTGATAAAAACTGTCCCTTTCACGTGTTGCTGTAGAGCCGTGAGTTTTGAGTCTCCAGACACCTTGGTTCACTGGTATTCAGCTTGTCGTCTCAGAGCGCCACCTGCCACACAGTGCCAGCACTGAGCTTCTGAGTTTAGGGTTTTGTTCTTCTAAGGCGACTTGAATAAGGAGCAAAATGTTCCATAACTCCGACTGCCCTGGACTAAGGATGGATATAGACTCTCAGGCAGTAAGAAGAAGGCTGAGGCTCTGTGCATCTGATGGGAAAGAGTTCAGAAGTGGTCCAGCCACTTGTTCCCATCACAAAGATGGTTCCTGAAGACATGGAGCATGTGGACACCTGGAAGAAAGCGAGGCCCGGCGCCAGTGACTCACACCTGTAATCCCAGCTACTCAGGAGGCTGAGATCAGGAGGATAGTGGTTTGAAGCCAGCCAGGGCAAATAATTCTGAAGACCCTATCTTGAAAAATCCCATCACAAAACAGAGCTGGTGGAATGGCTCAAGTGGTAGAGTACCTGCTTAGCAAGCATGAGGTCCTGAGTGCAAACCCCAGTACCACCAAAAAAAGAAAGAGAAGAAAGCAGAAAAGCAAGTGGTCATGACAAACATTAATCATGGAAAGGTATCATTGTGAGTGAGCCTTGTTTTTACAGGAATATTCTTTTATAACCAGTAAAACAAAATAAACAAATGTCTTCACAAAAAAACAAAAAATCTAGAAAAGGAAACCATCTCATAGCAGGCAGCAGGTGCAGAGCTCAGGCAGCACATCCCCCTGACAGCCTGTCCTGGCACCCAGCCCGAGTGTCCTGCCAGGGTATGAAGGAAAGGAGTCACCTGTGCTTGGAGACAAGAGACATGAAAGCTCTGTGAAAGTTAAAGCCAGCTAGAAACACAAGCCTAATTTCACAGTAGGTTTAGCAGAAGCCTCAGCCTGCCTTGCCCCCAAAAAAAAGAGAGAGAAAGAAAGAGAAAGTACTCAGCATCTCCCCCCTCAGACGACAGTGAGCACAGGCGACAGTGAGCACAGGCTTCAAATGCAATGGAGAGTTGGCAGCCAGCAGGGGAACAGTACAGCAACCTGCAATGTTCCTGCAACACTTGACTTAGATGTGAGCATGGCAAAGACTATCAAGTGCACATTAGTCCTATAGACAGCCATCTGCAATCTGGAAACAACAGATTTGATTTTTTTTTTTTTCTATACATCTATTGACCCAAGCTGTGACTGGTCAGGCGGCATAAGCAAACATCACTGATTTCAGGAGCTGTGTCCTGGGCTCAGATTGAACTTTGCTCTGGTTGGGCCACTATTTTCCCGAGGTCATGTCATTCGGAGACTTTTGTGCCACTCCCCTGCCCTGTTTATTTATTAAATACCCGTGTTCCCCACAAGGTGAAAGTCCAGTTCTGTTAAGACGGCATGGGTCAAAGGTGGCCAGTGCTCTCCTTTGCACCAACTGCCACACACACTTCCCCAAAGGCCTCCCCAGGACCAGCCTGCCTCTAAAGGAGGATTCCAGGCCACAGTGTGCAGCTTGTGTTCAGTTTGTCAGCGTTTCGTGAGTGGCACGTGAAGTCATGTCTAAAATTAACAGGAATTTATAAACCCAATCCTTCTCCTCTTGACACCCAGACTGAATGCATAATGAATATAACAATATATTAAAGATTATTCTTTTGAGTTTACATTTCAAGGATGGGATAAGTTGCACCAAATATTTAAAGAGATTTCTTTCCCTAATTTACCTCTGTTGAAACTGACATCTAACTGAATGAATAAATAATGGACGACTTAATGGACGTGTGGAAGAAACTATCCATAAATTAAACTGTTAGCCAACACTTCTCGTGGCTCCCTGGGCTCCTCTCGGTAAGCTTGCCTCAGAAGGTGACTGACCTTCATTCCCTTCTTCATTTCTCTTTTCTTGGAGTTCATCAAGCCTTCTCAAAACCACAAGGCTCACACAACACTGAAGAAGTTTGGGGAGGCCAGGAATGGAGGCCATGGGAGGCAGACAGACCATCTATGACTGGGCCCATTTGGTCCAGTCATAGTCAACAGTGTTTTGCACATCTAAAAGCATTACTTCTTCTTTTTTTTTTTTTTTTTTTTACCCAGTGTTTCTTGAAACACACTGGAAGTCTAGACAAGCCTGGGCCTCCATTCCCAAACTGTAACACTTGCTGGACCTCTCCAATCCCCACCAAGGCCCAGACTTCACTCAATTATATGGCCTGCCTCAGCTTCCTGGGCTTTTTGAGTCGTTGGCATTTTAAGAAATTCATCTTGGAACAATACTTGCTGTGATGCTCTGGACGGACATCACTTCTCACCTCTATCTCCTCCCCCTCCACCCCCTCGCCACCATCTTTGTCCCTCCCTGGGCCTCATTCCCCTCCCCCGCCATCTCCGCCCTCTGCCCTCACACACAGCAGCCACCGGCTAAGCCCTCAGCCTGCTATGAGACTCTCACCGGGTCCAGCATAAAGCAGTTGACCCCACTCTCCATGGCGAGGACCAACATGGTGGCACTGCCATAGAGAGCGTAGCCGGCAGCCACCAGGTTCCGGCCGGGCTGCAGAGCATCCTTCTCAGAAGGTTCCTCAGTGGATTTCTAGAGCAAGACAGAAAAGAAAACGTGGTCTGATTTGGTTCTGCAGGGTTCTTTCCCTCCAGTTCAACCATTAGCAGGCTGCATGTCGAGATGTTCTTCTAACGAAATGGGGTGTCTTCCCAGAGGGGCTCCCCACACACCAGCAGCATCCTGATTGCATTACCCCGGCAGCCTTCCCGCCGGACCCCAGACTTCCTGCATCTGGAGCCGTCTAACCCATCAGGTCCTCCTCCCATTTTCTTAATTTGATATTCCCTCATGTCTCCATTAGCACTTCCAAAAAAACAGCACGCCCTCTTGCCAGCTCCCGCTAAGGTAATGCGATTAGGGACATGGTGCCTTCCACCTGCCTCCTCCATCCTCACTTAAGCACATTAACTCCGGGCTGGGCTGCGGGGCCGTGAGCCTGGCAAGGGAGTCAACTGCGTGAGCTCTGGCCAGTTCGCGGCTCACACCCACCGCGGTGTGCTCCCACCTCCCCCCCAAAGAAATTCTCAGAGCGCATCCCCAGGGTCCGGACACAGGAGGCCAGAGCTGCCTGGTTGTTTTTGCAAGAAGCACATTTTAAGGTGGATCTCATAGAGTGATGGTTATCAGAAGCTGGGGAGAATAGCAGGAGAGGGAGGGAGGAACAGAGGGAGAAGGGGAAAAGGGAGGGAGGGAGGGAGAGAGGAGAGGAGGAAGGGAGGGAGGGAGGGAGGGATGGGGACAGGTTAGGCAGTGAGTACTCAATAGTTCTGGTCCCCTATTGCACAGTAGGGTGACTACAAATAACAATAGTGTACTGAATATTTCAAAAAATCTAGAAGAAAGGGATTTTGAATGTTCTACCACAGGAAATGACAGATGAGAGACAGACAAGTTTACCTTGATTTGATCATCACACAATGCACACATAGACTGAAACACCACATAAGCCCCGGAAATATGTGCGATATTATATCAATTTGAAAATTAAAAAGACACACTTTGTATCACAAACCGCACACGTGCACCCACTACAAAAATTTAACAAAACAATACCTACACTTAGAATATGACATGTGCTATGATTGTTCCTTTTTTTCTTTTTTTCATTAAAAACACAGCCTGCTGGGTCACGTGACCTAGTGTGTCTGCTCTCAGGGAAGGGAACGCCTTAAGGGGGTGCCTCCTAGTCAGTGGCGTCTCATCACCAATTATCTTTACTAACATTTAATTGGCTTCTTCAGCCATCGAAATACCCCAAACAAATCTTTCAGCTTGAATACTCTCTGCTTGAATTTAAACGAAAGCAAAAATGGCCAAGTGTCCTTTATTCCTTCCCTAGAAGCAGAGAAATACATACGTTATGAAGCCAAAGAGAGAATGAGGACCCAGAAAATCACCCCAGGTACTTTCTTCCTGTGTCTTTTGAAAGTGGGACACACAGACCAACCTGAGAAACTTATTAAAATACATCCTCTGGTAAGACCCTATCCCCAAAAAAACAAGCTAGACACAAAGACTCACCCCACCCAGAACCATCCATGCCTACCTGCAGCAAAGGTGCAAAAGTAAAGAGCTCCTCCCTGAAATATGTCACCAAACACTCTTGCACTTGCTCTTCCTTGCCTGGAGTAAGGAGTGACACTTGTCTGTGACACCACCATACTCAAAAGAAGGAGTCCACTGGATCACAGGTTGGGGGGAGTTCTTGTCCCCCTTCCTAATGCCTGCCGTTCCTCCTGCAAACCCCAGCAATGAGCCCTTTCCTTCTGAGGGGTGAATCAGGGTACAGAAAGCATTTGCAAGTTAGAAAGTTGCTGGACCCTTCCTCCCTCTGCCTACCTGAGGCCACCCCCTGCTGTAGGTATTGGTTTTGGTTTTATTCCCCAACACCCCATAAGGAGCAGAGGGAAAGACATCATGGACTTGGGGAACTTGAGGTGGTGGGAGAGAAAGTCAGGCAGAGTTGGGAGGAGAGGAGGGGACAGTCACGTCACCAAGGGTCTTCCCTCACAGGGACAACCAAGCCCTCCTTTTGAAGCTCTGCTTTTGGTTGTGGGAACTGAATATTGCTAAAGATTTTGCTAATCAGAGTGTGACCAGTACAGCATGACCAGGCTAGAGAGGGGTCTAAAATCATCACGTGTGAAAAGATTTTTTTTAATATTTAGGTTAAAGAAGAAAAAGAAAGAGGGGCGGGGAACAGAAGGTCAGGAAAACTGTCTCCAAACATGTAAGATTTTCTCACTATCTGATGCTCTGAAAAGCCAAAGGAACAATAACCAGACAGATTTTGACTTCACATTTGGACATATCTAGCCACGATGACTGTGCAACACCTCAGGAGAACCTGCCCCTTCCGCACACCGCCAGCCAGGAGCTGCAGAGATGCTGCAGCTGGACCTCTGGACCCTGGACCACGTAACCTTCAAGGTCCCTGGGGAGCCCAGCTGCCCGTGGTCTCTCTCCCTTTGAGCACATGCTTTCCAGCCAAGATCCATCTCTGCAGAAGAGCAGGACAGGTCTCTGTGGAAGTGTCAGGCTGGTCAACGTGTAGTCCACAGCATCCGGAAGGCTTTCAGAAGCTGAAATGACCCAGAGACCTGTGTCATACTGCCTTCCGTTTCTCTCTTAAGAAAATTGTTTCAGATTGATTGAGAAGACAGTGAAGACGAATTATCCACTTGCTCTTGGATTCATAACCCAAGCTACTGGATTGATTTTTTTTTTTAGTCAGTAGTGAATTTGCTAGGGATTTTTCCCTCAAAAGAATTGTATAGGGATAGAGGACTGAAGTGAAAAAAAAATGCTTCCATCTTCCATATGGAAGAATTCTGGGGCAAACCTCTCCTGCTCTACCTTGCGGGGGGAAATGGAGAAATGACATCTCTCCATGCTATTGCAGGAATGGTGTGTTTCCTGGCGTGACTTGGGAAAGAGATGGGTCCTACAGGTTTGAAAAGAACTTATGTACAATGGCAGGCAAGAAGTCACTTTTAGAAGCGCGAGTTATGGCCTCTGTATGCTAGAACAGAGCACAGCTGAGTGTGAGGGAACCACTCGCCATTAAGACAAAGACACAGAAGCCTGGTAGCAAACCATCCTCAAGAGCTGGGCTGGGGTGGGGCTCGGTGGGAGAGCACCTGCCTAGCACAGCTAGGCCCTGAGTGCTATCCCAGACCCAGCGAAAGTTAAACCTGATGCCCAGAGCACGCTACATTTATAAGTTTTATGATGACTGTAGGTATTCGTTCTATTTTTTTCACTTGTCTATACTTGAGTTCTCTCTCTCTCTCTCTCTCTCTCTCTCTCTCTCTCTCACACACACACACACACACACACACACACTTAGAGATAAAAGAAGGAAAGACAGGCCATTAAAGGTGGAGTGACTGCCCAAGTCACACAGAGGCCTGGGTTCAGGTCCCACACCAGTGTGTTTTGACGTACAGCGGGTGTCGGCAAATGCACGGGTAGTGAATACCGTAGTCTTTATGTGTCCCACGGTGCATGTATGTCACGACTCTCACCCATGGCGGTGTAACACAAAGTCAGTCAAAGGCAATATGTAAACAAATGAACAGGACCATATGCCAGTTGAACTTGGTGTACAGTGAAAAGTAAACTTCACAGAAATTTCCTGGGTTGATGAAATATTCGTTCAACTAAAGCAGACACTTTAAAGCAACTGAGGCCAATAGGAGAAGGGGACCAGGAACTAGAGAAAAGGTGAGATCAAAAAGAATTAACCTAGAAAGTAACACACTTGCACAGGAAATCAATGTGAGTCAATGCCCTGTATAGCTATCCTTATCTCAACCAGCAAAAACCCTTGTTCCTTCCTATTATTGCTTATACTCTCTCTTCAACAAAATTAGAGATAAGGGCAAAATAGTTTCTGCCGGGTAGCAAGGGGTAAGGGGGGGTAAGGGAGGGAGCAGGGGGAAGAGGGGGAGAAATGACCCAAACATTGTATGCACATATGAATAAAATAAAAATTAAAAAAAAAAGAAATATTGGTTCAAGTGTTCAACTGTGTAGACATGTACACTGAGACTGGCAGAGTAGCTGAAGTGGTAGAGGGTCTGCCTGGCAAGTGCAAAGCCCTGAGTTCAAACCACAGTACCACCAAAAAAAAAAAAAAGTTAAATTATTATTTTTGTTCACCAGCCATATAAATGAGGTGGTGGGCTGGATTTGACCTGAGTGGGATGGGGGTGACATAGTTTGCAGACTCCTGATTTAAGTGACTTGAAGGATAAGTTTTGCATAAATAATCTCAACTGTCATACTCTCACAGTTCTCAGTTCAAATAGTCGTAACTAGACCTGCCGTGTCTTTCTTTTTAAGCTCTCATTTTCCATCATAAAAGAAAGATACAGCTAAAGAGTAAGACATCCTCTGTTTCCACATCTAAATATATTTTAAATATATTTAATACTATTTTTTTTCACACCTTCACGGGTCTTTCCTGCGCAATCAATGCTGGAAAAGTCAGAACCTGACATACAAACCTATGATAGCCTCAGAGTTTCTTCTACACATCCCGACCACTCGGCCACTGTGAAACAGGACTGGGTTCCCCCACCCCGACTTTGCCTCTGGTTCAAAACCAGGCACCTCATCCACCGCGCTTTACCTTTCTGTAAATACCAAAAATCGTTCCGATGGACACCAGGCAGTCAATATTGGAAGAGCCATCCAGAGGATCAAAACAGACCACATATTTACCCTGAACGAAGGATAAGGAAATAGGACTTTAAAATATTGCAACAACATAGAGACTATACACTAAGCAGTAAAAATGGGCAATCTAGGAGATATAAATATATATCTCCTCATATATAGGTATAGATATAGATACCAAAGGTCATTAGGCAGATAAGATGCCATTTAGAAGAGGAAGTCTGGAAGGTGATAGGCTACAAAGAAGTCATTCTTTCCTTCATCACTGATATAATTGAATCACAATGCTGCTGGAGTCCTTGTAGCCAAAAGGAGCATAAACAAGATTAGTCGTTTATTTCTCTTGATTTGCGTGTGGGGGTGAGGGGGAGACAGACTTCCCTGGCACTCAGATCCGTAAGAAACTTCTCCTGCAGGGGTTGTGGTGGCTCATGAGGCCACACACGCAGAGTACCGTTGTGTGCCTACTACAACTCCTAAAGGAAATGAGCCTGGTGGTAAAGGGCCACCATTGCTGGACTGGGGTGTCCCAGTGGAGTGCTGGAGCTGGCTGCCTTGGGCTCTCAAAAGAAAGCTAATCACACATATCTCTTTCCAACTCTGCTTTCAACAGTGTCTTTTTTTTTTTTTTTAATCTTTAGATCCATGTATGGTCTGAGTATTTAAACATTGAATTTGGTAAGTGCTACAAATCAGAGATTTTTTTTCTCAAGAGTGAATCTACCAGCACATCTCTGGGAATTTTCCATCTGCAAATTCTCTCTTTAAATGTGGGTTTTAAATGTTCTGCCTGTCGCTCTTAAATCACCAGATGCAAGGGAAGCAGAAGGCTGGAAGTTGGGAAGCTGTCTACCTCAAAGGCACTTCACAGTCAGAAAAGTGAGGGTGGCTGAGGAACAATCCGTAAGCCTACACCTGCCAGACCCTATGAGAGGCCCAGCAGAGAAACACGTGGACTTTGAACCTGGCACCATTTTAGGAGTGATGTCGAATTAGTTGATAAAGTGTGGCTCCCACCCTCTTCATAAGGTCATCACAGGCAGCCTTTTTAATGTGTCTTCTGAATTTCTTTTCTAGCTCTACTCCATGGCCCCACTTCCATCCAGGAACGAGAGTAAGCCCAGACTCTAAAATCTGTTGTTGTCTGAGAATAGTTAGATACACTCTTTCATTCCATGGTCTTTTTCAACAGCCATTTGTTGCTGAGTCCCTGTAGCTTGCTGGGCATTGTGCCAGAAGCAACCAGAATAAGAGGCCTCAAGTGGGTTCCAATGTATGAACCAGTGATGGAAATCTGGGGCAGACTACATTGGTAGTAGGGTCAAGGGTGAAGGATGAAAATTTGGTGGAGATGTGGCAAAAGAGTCAGTCAACAGACGCCAGACTTTGAAGAGCCCTGGACATGGCCCCGAAAGGGTAGAAAGGAGATGCATCCACAGCAGAGGTGACTTGGTGCCTATGTGGACAGTAGAGAGGAAAGGGCACCTTTGAGTGAGGTGGAATCAACAAGGAGACAACAGAAGTGACCTAGGAATGCAGCGTGGAGAAGAAAAATGGTTGCATGACAACCTTCACCCACCCTCTTCTCAGGCTCTACTATGATAGCATGTTTGTCTTCTTCAGACACAAGCACACAGGTGGCAAAGGACGACTTTAGCATGTTCACAACCAGGTCATTGGAGAGGACATCAAGCTTCTTAACTTGGTCACCTGTCACGTTGGTGGAGCCAGCAATGCCATAACTAGAGGGAAGAAAACGACACAACACAAGCACATCATCGATGCGTCAGCACAGCCATGGAAAGGGAGGGGGTGATGGTTCAGAAGAAAGGAAGGGAGACTCAGGGCTCGGGAGAAACAAAACAGGAAGGGTGGTTGCACCCTGGGTGGGCTCCTAGAGAGTGGACCATGCTGTCATTCACTCCAACGGCCAGTCCCTATCATGGTACCTGGCACACCTGTGTGATCGAGTCTACGTTCTTCATTTATTTTTTCCCCACTATGGTACCTATATAAAGCCTTCAAAATATTTTTTGCTAACCATGCTCTCCATCAACTATTTTAATAATTCAAATATTATTTTCACAATTCAAGTAAGTGTATATCTATTACTATACGTATATTAGAGATTTTTTTAGGTTTGTTTTAGTCCACCAAGAACCCGTTTTTATCCCCACATACATGGGGATAAATTGTTGTCCCCAAACACAAGAAGCAAGGCAGCCAGGGTTGGAGTGAACCTGGGATGTCACCTAACCCACAGGATGCTGTGGGTTTATAACTAAAAAGATCCTGAAAGAAAAGGAACATCGACTGGTCACCATCTCATTTTTACAGAGGAGAAAAATGTAATTTCAAGACACCCGCAGGCTTCTCACAGACAGAGTGGCACTGAGATGCTCCTTTGACTTCCATCCTGGGCTTCTCTCCCCAGCAGGAGCCCTAGGGGACAGAAAGGGTGGGGGTGGTAGAGCTCTTATTTTACTTCTGTGCTACCTGCAAGTCAGTAATTGTAGAATTCCCAGAATCCAAGAGGCTCGTCCAAAATCCAGCTTGGCTTGTTTAAATGAGGGGGAGCTGGGTTGTCATAGCCTGGGTTGAACACAGACACAGGAAGGAGGCACAGAACAAGATAAAGCCTTGGCATGGGAAGGGAAAGAGAAGAGGAACTGAAGAAGCCACCACGCAGCTGGAAGCGGGCGATCTCACACACCTCAGCAAGACCACTACAGTGCTTGCCTGGGGACCTGATTGTCACTGCATCACCATCTGTGACTGCTTCGACTCTGGGAACACATTCAAAACATAACTTTCTTGTGTCTGGCTGGGCAAAACACAGCCCTTGCTAGAAAAGGCCCAAACCCAAATGCTTGATCTAGCCCAACTGTCTCCAAGAGGCAACTCCAGATGTCTCATCCAGCCTCCCAGCCTGGAAAGCAGCATCCAGGCCCTGCAGAGCCCTGCCCATCCTCTTCTCTTTTCACCATGTCACTCCTATGTCATGAAGGAAAACTAAGTGACCTATCAGACTTGCAGCTGTAGCCTGTGTCTCTGGACTTTTGGTCCTCTTTCCACATTGCTGCTTTCTAGACTCAACTGTTAAGCCAATGCTGGTGGAGAAAGAGGGCAGCTGGAGTCTGCAGGGGTCACCCACCCAAATGAATCTCCCTCACGGGCCCCACTACTGACAATTTTCCCTCCTTCCCAGCCTGAGAGTTCCACCATCAAAGTCACTATGGTTTCAGAAGAGCAATCTGCTCTGATAGATAAGAACAAGGGCGTGAAGACAGACCTGGTCCAGACCTCGGCTCTCTGCAAGTCTCTTCCCCTCTGTGAGCCTCCCTCCCTTTTCCCATGTACCCAAAGGGAGACGGGAGCTGTATTGTGGGGCTGTTAAGGGATTGTATGAGATACTGTACGTAAAGGGCGGGGCACAGCCCTTGTCATCAAACAGTGCAGCCTGATGGGAACAGTTGCAGGAGACACTGGGAAGATGAGGCAGAGCGGCTGCAGGTACAGGAAGGGTATATTAGTCCCTTCTTCATTATTATATTGACATGCCTAAAGCTGGGGCTTTATAAAGAGAAGCTTATAGAGCTCACGATGTGGGAGGCTGAAAGTCCAAACAGCACAGCAGCAACTATGACGAGGACCCCCTTGGCTGGGTCATCTCAGGGTTGATGGAGAGGGAGAGACAGCATAGGGAGACCAGAAGCCAGAGTGATGGAAAGGGGCCAGACCTCCAGCCCTCACTAGACCCCACCACCTCTCAGCACCATCACACTGGGGACCGTGCACCTAGCACACGAACCCTCGAGAACACACTTGAACCACAGGCACGCTGTAGCTCAGGGGAAGGAAAAGCCTGCTTCGTGCTCTCACACTCCACCTGCTCGGGTATCACAGTTCCTTTCCTTGAAAGCTTCCACGAGGCCTGAGTGTTCATATATTCCAAAAATGTTTCCTGGGGACCTATCGTGCTGGGGTTGCCATACTGAACAGGCTAGCTCAGGTTCCTACCTTCAAGGAGTTCCTATTCCTGGAGAGGTGAGACACACAGAAGCAAATGTTTTGGAATGAATGAGATAAAGTCAGAGAGGGACAGGTGTTCACCATCATAAAATAAACCAGGGTGGCAGGTGGAAGGGTGGAGAGTCAATTTAGAAGGTCAAGGAAGAGGTCACTGCAAAGGATGCATTCCAGTTAATGGTAGTTTGAATGCTTTTCATATGAAAGGGAAGATAGTTTTTAAAAAATCCCAGCGGAAGCCCAAATAAGTCAGCCAGGAATGACTCAAAAAAAGAGCTCCGTGTCAGTAATCCAGCCAAAGAAAGCAGAGTCAGTTTTCACATAGTTTCTAAACGGGAAAATAGTTTCTGCTGGGTATTGAGGGGGGGAGCGGGAGGGGGTGGAGTGGGTGGTAAGGGAGGGGGTGGGGGCAGGGGGAGAAATGAACCAAGCCTTGTATGCACATATGAATAATAAAAGAAAAATGAAAAAAAAAAAAAATAACGGAAAGGGGTGGGTACAGTGTGCACACACATATATAGAACTTTTTAAAACTTGAGGTCTTTTTCCCACGATGCTGGATCCAGGGAGTATCTAAATTCAGAAAGAGAAGACAAACGCAGAGGAGAGAATCTTTGTAAGGTTCATCTTGTACCAGGCCAGATCTGGTTTGCAGTACTCCTGGGCCAGCCTCACCAGCCAGGCAGAGACTACCCTGTGACTGTGGCCTGGTCACAGCCTCCATGATTTGTTTCACGGGGTCCACTAAAAGCAGGAGAGTTCCTGACACAATGGACTGCATCTTCTGAGTTCGCAGACTCAGCATTTGGCCAAATTGAAATGAGAGGAGAATCAGGTCCTGTGGCCCTAGATCTTGCCCAGAGCTCCGAGAGGTTACTGTCAACATCAGGGGAGGTGACTGTCAAGCCAAGATCACTATCCAGCTTTCCTCAAAATTCTGAGAGGCTCCTACCCTGGGGTCACAGAGAAACCAAGACATAGAGAAGCCCGAGTTCACAGAAGGTGATACAACTTGTCCTGCCTGACTTTTTTTTTTTTTTTGGTGCGATATGAGGCTAAAGCCCAGGGTATTGGGTAAATTCAGAAGGTGTCCTCCAGGAGGACCAAAACTCTTGCACTCAAGGGGCACATTGGACTTGTGAGCCTGTGGAAGAGAAAATTCTGTTCACCATGCATCCCGAGCACCGGCAGTGACGCCGACAGGCAGGAAACACTCACTAAACACTTTGTGAGTGGGGAATTAATTTAGAGAGTAATAAAGGAATCCTGAAGGACTGCTAAGATTTTTCAGCTCCACTAAACCCAATGGTATTGATAACGCCTCCCTTCACAATCGCCTACCATCCAAGACCTCCACCCCCAAAAACCCACAGCGGATTAACACACCTTTTGCTAAAAGTGTGCTTGCCATACAAACTTAGTATCACGGCAAGCACAGCGGCCCCTGCCTCAGGCCAGGTCATCAGGAGACTGCAGGAAGTAAAGGTGAAGGCCACAGGCTAGGAATCCCTAGCATCTCTGACCTCTGATTCTTCGTCTGTAACAAAAGATAGAGTATATCCGCTTCGTACTGTGTACAGAGGGGGACTGAATGAGTTGTCATGGGTAAAGAGCCCAGAACAGTGACTGGTGCATAGACAACTGTGCAAGAAATCGCATGGCTCCACTCCCACCCTAATTCTCTCAGCATTCACACATCCACACGGAGTAGCAAGGTGGTGTCCTGGAGAGAACTCAGCGCCCAAAATCACGTGCCTGCCAATAAATTGTCCACACTCCCTGATGGATTGCGTCTGGCCTGGTTGTAAGGATGCACCTGCTCTGTGGAGCCCCCCCTCCCTAACACGAAGCCACCGCTGCTCTTAACAGACTGCCACAGGCACCCACTAAGTAAGTGTCGTTGATGGGTGGGCGGGAGGGGGTTACCATCTTGAAGCCAGCTTTGTGGGCAGCTTCTAAGAAGACAGCTGGTGCAGGACTGTTGTCACAGGTAGCTGGAGGGGAGGGACAGTGGCTTGCTATGACACAGTTGTAATTTCACTTGAGACGCTATGGCATTTTGCTTCGGTTCTGTTCAAGTTGGTTGGCTTGCAGCCGGCTAGTTAAAGTGGGGAAAGCACCTTGGTTGGGATTTAAGGCCCTTTGGACTTTCTCTTTTAGAATCTCAGAGACACAAAGGATCTCTTTCTAGAGTTTGGATGCCACAATTCGCTTTGAGAAGTGGTCTATTTTCAATTTTTACTATAAACCTCAAATTTTTATTGCAAACATCCCTGGAATATCAAAACCCTGTAAGTCAACTGGGCAGAGTGGTACATATACCTATAATCCAACACTCAGGAGGGCGAGACAGGAGGATCTGAGTTCCAGGCCAGCCTGGGGCACACAGCCTAGGCTGTGGGCTTTTTTTGAGACCCTGTCTCAAAAAAAAAAAAAAAATTTCAAAAAGCTGAAAGTCATTTTAATTTGTAGAGTGGGGTATTCCTAAAAGCACAGATTAATTTGCACAGTACTTTGAATTCCTTGGAAACTTTGATTAAGTTTCAGCACCATTTGTCAAATTTGTGGATGGGCCATTTCTGCCATTTCTAAAATGATCACAGAAGGCCACCTCTACAGCATCTCTGAGGCAAAGTACTAAACACGGGAACTGGAGCCAGCATCTGCACACTTAAGGACACGCTCTCCATGGTGTCCTTGACTGGGCTGAGTCGCTCTAGGACCCTGCTGTGTAAGCAGCACACCTTAGACAGCACGCGAAAGGACCAAGCTGGTTTTCAGAGACATCCCACCAACCCAGGAAGAAGGGAGGTAGCTTATTATTTAAACCTATGTCTGAGGTCCAAGGTCATGCTGGTTTGTCATTGATTGATTCCGTGGTAAACAACCAACCATTCGCCCAGCTGGGGACATCCAAGGGTCAGTGCAGAGGTGCCAACCAAGCATCTTTCAAGGTCACAAACCCAACCTTTGCATGTGTTCACAGAGTCTGGCAACCAACAGACACAAGGATGCGTGGCTGGTGTGCATCTCTCGTGGAAAGGAAGTCACCATTCACTCTTGGTCCTGTGCAGAAGGTGAATCTGATCAAGTTTCTGACAGCTTAATGTCAAAAACTCTGCGAATATGGAAACCAGCTGAAGCTGTGACAGGGACCACTAATTCCAAAGCTGAATTTATTATTTTCACTCTTCAAACAGCAGAGAGGGTCTCATATATAAAAATAACTTTTGTGGGCCTCGTAGTTATGTGATAGGAAGGTACTGCCTGTAGCCAGCCTGAGGTGTATCATTTGCTTTGTCTCTTTTATTTATTTTTTCTTTCTTTCTTTCTTTCTTTTTCTTGCAGTACTGGGTTTTGAACTCAGGACCTACACCTCGAGCCACTCCACCAGCCCTTTTTTGTGATAGGTTTTACCAAGATAGGGTCTCAAGAACAATTTTCCCACAACTGGCTTCAAGCCGAGAACTTCCTGATCTCTGCCTCCCAAAGAGCAAGGATTACAGGTATGAGCACCGGTGTTTGGCAACATTTGATATTCTAGCCTGGAAAAAACCCCTTCTGATCTATATATATATGGACTACCACTAAGAACTGAAAAACAAAACACAGAGAGAACAGTTTGTCAAACACAAAAATATGCATGTATAATACATATTATAATATATATATAGTCTTCAGAAAAATAATGATGACATTACCCACTTAATAAGCTCAATTTGTCCTCTCACAAATCTCTGAGGTTGATAAAAACAACTGTCCCTATGAAACAAGGGGGGAAACAGGCTCAGAGATGTTTCATCATCACAGAAATTAAAGAGCAGAGCCAAGAATTCAAACTTGGCTCCTTCTCTTGCCAAAATGTGCTCTCAACCCTGCACATTCTTGTTTTGCTTAATCCAGTCCTGATCTTCCTCTTGCCCTTCCTCTCTGCCCCACGGCAAAGGTGCCAAAATCCAGCAGTCAAATCTTTAATGAGCTCTTCATGCCTGAATGCCAGATAGGCATATCTTACAACAGACAGGACATCTCCAACTGCCTCCCTCTCCTAGTTGTCAAAACCGTCTTGTCACCCATCCCTAGTCTCTGAAAACCAGCTCTTCCTTGGGAATTCTGGCTCCGGTTTTGGTATTGCTTTGGTTTTGGATGATAAGTCTCTACGCTCAACTGTTCTGCCCCCCTTCTCACGCAATCCACGCTCCACCTCCCAACTGCACCCAAGTTCTCCCCTCCCTCTCCAATGCTTAATTTTTCCACTGGTTTTCTGAAGGCCTTATCTTCCCAAGATTAATCTCAAATCACGTCACTGCCTTACTCAAAAACCTTTACTCTCTCCCTTGTACAACTGTCCCCCAAAGTGTAAAGGGGTCACCCTTGCCATTGGATGCTCCCCTAAGTGCCCCCAATGTCACATCTAGCAATTCCCCCAGCCTGTGCACTCCTCATGCTTGTCAAACTGAATGAGTGACTTCTTCCCAGAAACGCTTTCCCAGCTCAGAATCCTTTTTTCTTCACGTGACCATCCAGCCCGCCCGCTCTGTAGCCGTCAGACTTGTGACTCTCCATTCTCCTTTGCACCAGGACCATAATTCTGGCATCTCTGTGGAAGCATCTTGCAGAACCCTGCTGCGTCTTGCAGCTAGCTCGACACTTGGCTGAATTTCCCACAGCTCTGTGTTGTTCTGTCTCTCGGTGTCTTCTAGAACTGTATACACTGCAGGTGGTCAGCCACAGTTTTTCAGATGAAATGGACCTGGTGAAGTCTTCAGACAGTGGTTTTGAAGTTCGTACAAAGGGCAGTCAGCTACACATCGACTCCACGAAGCCATAAACTTAAGCCAGCCAAGGAAGGAAAGCAAGGAGTGGGGCTACCCTTGGACTTGGCATTTGAACCATGCGCTCATTAGCTGAACTGACAACTTGGTAGAAGTGAACGAAACCCAAGGAAAACACTACTCCAAGGACACATTGGACAGAAGGCAGTGACTCCTTGGACTGTAACACTCTTAATCCACATCAAAATTGAAATTCATGAGTGAGATTTAGAGTTTGGTGAACGGTTTTTCTTTTTTGTGATGTTAGGTATTAAAACTCAGGATCTCATGCATGCTAGGCAAGCACTCCACCTCTGAGCTACATCCCCAGCCAACCTCTATGACTTCTAAAAAAAGAAAAAATGAAGGAAAAGATGTGTGACAATAGCAGTCCCAAGCTGTGGTTCTAGACTTGCGCCACAGGCCAAATCAGGTCAGACTCCCTGGCCTCGGGGTCCTTGTCTGAACGAGGAGGGAACTGGATTGGGTAGCTTATGAATCTCTCAGTTCAAACGCTATTATTCTGTGCAAATCTTATTAGAAACAGTGAAAGTGGCTGCAATGAAAGGTGCAATGGCATCTTTAGGTTGACAGAGAAGGAGGAAGGGAGAGCCAAGCAGGCGCACACCAGGTCTCATGCTTAAGCCCCGAAGAATCCCTGATGAGAAGTCATGGGAGAGCTCTTGGAAATCTGCACGCATCCCATGCCCCTGGGTGCCAAGTCCTTCTAGGGCCGATCTGTAGCACCAATAAGTTCTTCGCAGCCTGACACATCAAAGTCTGTAATAAAGACTTTGAGGCCTCACTTGAGAGCTTGTCTGACTGCTACTGGCCTGACTACATGTCCTGCTGGGAACCATCAAACTCTTACATACTCACAAGAGTCCTTAGAGTCCCACTTCTGGTCCTGTCCATCAGCTACCCATGTGGCCAGACACCAACACCTGTTCCAGTACCCTAACAGACAAAGAGCGGTGAAAACTTACACGCCCACAAACAAGAAGAGTTCCATAATTCACGATGCGTCCGTGCAACAGTTAAGAAGAAGTAGGCTGGTTTATACGCCCTGGCTTTGAAGGGTATTTCTTATGTAGTTGGAATGACATCCAACTGCAGAAAAGTATGTTAAGTGTGGTCTCGTTTGGGAATATGCAAGCACGTGTTCCTATGTGTATTTATATGAGCATAAGGAAGTATCAGGAAAATAGTAAGAGTGGATACTCCAGGGAATGTGTGGGATGGGTTTCACTTTTTCTTTGTGCTCTTTCAAATGCTTTGATGTTTTTGTCAGTGAGTTCAACTTACCAGTACTTTATAACAATAATGGCAACTGTAATAATAATGAAAAAAAAAAAAAACTTGGTGTCACAACTCCCTAGTCAAAAACTACACATATCTTACATAGCCAAATTGGCACCCTGTGCTGAGGTCCCACTGTCTAAGGTTACAGTGTGACACCTCAAAGCACCTTCTGGTTGTGAAGGGTCCTGATGACATTCTTGAAGCAACGTAAGAAACAAAAGTGCTGTTTGTTTGGTTGTTTTTTAAGCTACCTGGTGCTTAAAGGAGTTAACACTGTGAGCCATCTATCCTGGTAAATTAAATTTGAAGCAAGAAACTATCTGGGTGTGTTTGCTGACGCAAAGAATCCTTAGAAGTAGATTATTACAAATGGCCACAGGCAAAGTAGTCATGGCGTCATCACCTTCCTTTACACACCTGTGCCCATCATTCTCCCAGCAAGATCGATCCCTGCTTGACATCTGGAAAGAAATGTGACCTGATGCTGCTTTCTTAAGAACTAGCTTGACCATTCCATACTGTGGAACCAGAACTCACCAGAAAAGAGAATCCAGGTCACGCTGTTGGGAGAAAATTTTTTCAAACACAGAAAAGCACTCCAAAGTAGTGGGATTGTAATTTTGCCTGATCCGCTCTGAGCACTTTTACGTTTGTATTGTTCATAGTTATGGGACCTTCAGGAAGGACTATGGACAGTCCAAAAACCCAGGTACCTTTCAGTTGAAGTAAGAATCAATTAGATACAAAATACATGTACACATCAGAACGAACCAAAGGTTGTTGTGTGACTTATAAAAAGCATTGCAAGAAGGTGTCTCTTGAGTCCCCCTGTCCCCTGACTCCTTGCTACTTGCAATGTGATCTGCAGACCATCACCGGCACCACAGGAGAATTTCTTGGACCCCACCCCAGTCCCACTGAAGGAGGGCCCCCATTTTAACCAGGTCCCCCAACTTCCTGTGCATCGAAGTTTGAGGTGCACTCCCTCGCTCATTCAAACCCACTCTACTCACACACTGCTTTTGGGTAAGAGCTGCACGTGCCATTCCAGCAAGCGGGTAGTTTTGAAGCTCACTTGGATAGGTTTTTCTCTATCCAGAACAACAGGCAACTGTCCAGTAAGGGGCAGCCCACTGTGCACCAAGAATTGCTGCTCCCAAACGCCTGTGTGGAGGACCACTTGCTCCTAACAGGACTTCTTTAGGTCAAGGAGGTCTGATCCCAAAGAGCTGACTTGGGACCCCAATTACAAAGGAGGATGAAGAGGAGAAAGGGAAAGGGACTGGGGGACAGGGGGAGGGAAGGGATGGCGGGGCTGGGGAATGGGGAGATAGGAAGAGGCCAGCTGGTGTCACAGGAAGCTGAGAGGAGAGGCTGTGCTCAGGTCAGAGGAGGGAGATGCAGGATGGAGGCAGGTCGACACCTGCCCAGGTGGGCCCGTCCAAGGTCAAGGGAAAGGTGGAGAGAGGGTCTGTGCTGCAGGTTTCTGGAGAGATGATAGATTCTGGGACAGGCTAACAGCAGGAGGACCAAGACAGCCAAACGTGGGCCACACGGACAGGACGGGCCTAACTCACAGATGCGCGATGCCCGCCTTGCGCACGGCCGAGGAGATGGCCTTGACCGCGGTGCAGAGCGAGTTGAGCAGCTGGGTCATCTCGCCGGTGCCACCAGCCCTCCTGCCCTCCTCCATGACGAAGCGGGTCAGGGTGCTGATATTCGTGTCGAAGGGCGCCTGGTCCGCCATGCTGGGGCCTGGCAGGTGCGCGGGGCAGGTGCGCGGGGCAGGTGCGCGCGGCTGGTGCGCGTGGGGCGCGCGGCAGGTGCAGGCAGCTGGGCGCGACAAAAAGGCCGGCGACTGATGGCCGCCGAGTGCCCGCTCAGCTCGCAGCTGGCCCTGAGTCCACGCGGGAAGTGTCCTCGATAGCCTGTGCGCGCCAGGTCCCCGCCCCCCGCCCCCGGGACACCTCCACCCTCCAGCCCCGGCCGGCTGTCGCTCCTCCCCACCAGGTCCCGGATCCGCCTGGCCACCCTCCCTTCCTCCACTCCACCTCCTCTTCCTCCATGCTTCCGCCACGCAGCCACCTGCAGCGTGCAGCGTGACAATGGGCCACCTGCACCGTCTCCGCCGTCCCCACAAGGACTCCGCCAGAGACTAGGCGGGGTTGCTTTTTCCCTTACATAAAACGAGGTCAGGAAGGATCAGTAACGACCAATGTTGCACAGCTGATCAGGGAAACCCGCATCCCAGCCCGCATTGTCCTTTTTTCAGCGCTGCCATTCCCTCTCTCCCTCCCTCCTTCATTGGTCTCTGCCTGCCCCCTTGCTTGTTCTCTTCTGTCCACCCAGTCACTTGGCCACCTGGCTTTTGTTTTGGTTTGGATTTTTGTTTGTTTGGCATCTGGCTTTGGGGTTTTTTGGTGTTTGTTTGGGGGGGGGGGGGGTTCGGCGGGGGTTGGGGGGGTTGTTTTGTTTTGTTTTGCAACACTGGAGTTTGAACCCAGAGCCTCAGGCTTTCTAGGAGAGCTTTACCACTTGAGCCACACCCCCCAGCCCTTTTATGCTTTAATTATTTTTCAGATAGCATCATGAGTTCTTGCCCCAGGCTGGCCTAAGTCTGTATCCTCCTACCTCTGCCTCCTGCATAGCTGGGATGTCCACCACCACACTCGGCCTCAGCAGGCTCTTCCCACCCACCTCAGGAGAAGAGAAGTCCCCTGTGACGGTCCACATCTAGATTTTAATTCAGGCCCCCTCAGCTGGGCGCTGGTGGCTCACGCCTGAAGTCCTAGCTTCTCAGGAGGCAGAGATCAGGAGGATCATGGTTCAAAGCCAGCCCTGGGGAAATGGTTGCAAGACCTTATCTGGAAAAAAAATCCTCTTCTCAAGATTCCTGGAATTGGATACCTGTTAGGGGCCTTACTGCCCAACCCGTGCATTTTGCAGGGGAAAAAATTACAAATACAAAGGAGGGTCTCCTGAGATCAGACGTCTGCTAGCCCACACTCGTCCATGTGTAGCCACAGGGCTGCAATGCATTGCACTGACTGATGGAATAACATTTATTGAGCACCTACCTACTAGTGCCAGACACTGTCCTACACTCTGTGGATAGAACATGAACAACACATGTTCCTTGAGCTTGCATGTTGACAGAGACAATTTTAAAAAGTTAGTTTTGTTTCATGAGCTTTAAGTGCTGTAGAGAAAAATGAAGTAGGAAAGGAAGAATGTTGGGGAAGAGGTCGGGGGAAACTGAGGAGTCAGGGAAAACTTAACTGACAAAGTGATATTTGAGCAAAGAGCTGAAGGATGTAAGGAGGAGGCAGTGAAAATAGGGAGAAGGGCAAGTGCAAAGGCCCTGAGGTAGGAGAATGTGTGGCCATTCAGTCTAGTGGAGCTGATATAGACCTAACAAAAGAGCAAGAGAGAGGAGAAAAAGTGTGGGAGAGAAGAGAAGGGTGCAGGTGTGAGGCCTGCAAGGCTGAGCTTAGTTTGAATTTGGCTTGAAGGAAATCACTGGAGAGTTTCCAACAGAAGAGAGACACATCAGCCCTGTATTTTCCTACTCTGGCTACTGTGTTAAGACTAGACTGAGGAAAGGGGACAGGCGCCCGTGACATTACAGAGAGATGGTGGGCCAGGGTGGCGCAGCGGAGGTGGAGACAAATTGAGATGGCTGGATTCTGCAAACATTTTGAAGATCTACCTAGACAAACTGAGTGAGAGCAGGAGTTTGGCGTGATTCTAAAGTTTGAGGCCTGAAATACTGGAAGAATGGGGCAGGGCGGGGATGATTCCAAGGTAAGATTGACAATGGGGGACCAATCACAGGCTACATTTGGAATACCCACTAGATTCCTGAAGGAATGTCAAGAAGACAGATATAATGAGAGCAGAGGTTCATGTTAGAACCTCACTGGACCTTATTGAAAACCCTCACTGAAGAATGGTGTTTCTGGCCCTAAGACTAGAAGAGATTGCTGAGAAAGGGATCAGCTGAAAGCCAGAAGTCAAGAAAGTTGTCATCCAGAAGTCAAGTGAAGAACACGATTGGTCGAGCAGAAGCCAAATGAAGAGTTTGGCAGAGTGACCATGTGCCAGGTGCGGCAGGACCAGGCAGGCCAGGCTAGGTCTGCAAGTGGCTGCTGAATTCAATCGTGCAGACCTGGGATGCAGATTCTTGTGTCTAGGATCATTAGATGGGGAGTTCTGGATGCAGGAAGTACCAACAGGAAAGACGGTGACCGTCGCCTCAATGCTACAGCGGAGAGAGGAGACCCTTTACGGGTTGCCTTGACTCTCTGCTCCCTGGGTAACTTTTCATAAAAAACACTGCAGTGTGCTGAAAGGGAGTGGGGAGAAGCTGGGCTGGGAAGAGAAATAGATCCTTAAATATCAGATCTGAAATGTAGTGACTACCTTTTTGTCCTAGAAACTAGTTATAACTGCTCTAGTCAAGACTTTGCCTCTTTGTGTATCTGATTTTCAGTCCCCTGGGCTCTTGGATTGATGAGGACCATAAAAGCATAAAAGTCATCTAATCCAGTCAGACCCTCCTGAGGCTCAAACTCTTCGGACACCACCACAGAAGATCTCAGAGTTTGGTTGGGTTTGGTTGAGACCTGTTGGGTTCTCAGCTCCAGCCCTCCCCAGTCTGAGACCTCGGGCCAGATCTCTAATCTCTCTATGCCCGGCTTGTTCGTCTGCAGGGTGGAATTGATCATTCTACCTAGCAGTGGTGGCGTGAGGATGTATGGGCAGAGTGACAAGCTCAGAACTCAGCACCGGGGACCCCTAAACACAAGGGTGAGAGCTCTGATGCGGGTGCATTCCCCACGTCTGTACGATGAGGGGTTGACGTCCAGGTGAAAGGATCCACAGAGTTCATAGCAGGGTAAAGGCCAGGCCAGGAACAATAGTAAATAGAAGAATGGAGGAAATGCTTAGACTTACGGATTCTTTAATAGTTCTATTGCATCAGCAAGGGGTGAAAGTAGACCCAATGTCCACTGTAGACAGTGATGTCTGGGCCTCTTGAAAGTTGTATGTATCCCAATATATTTTGTTCAACGAGAGTTAGAAATGATGTAGTGGGAAGGGTTGGGATAATTACTAAAGGAGATTAATTATAAACATATTCCTTAGGAAGAGAAGTTGAACCTCTTGAAGTAAAGTTGTCAGTCTTGTGTAATCACTGCACTCTGTCACCTTAACCAGCCCTGTCCTTGGGCAGGGCATGGGAGTGAGGTACGAGGTTTATTTTATATTGTCTCTTGGGTTAGGAAGTTGGCCTCATTTCTCTTGTCCCTTTGTCCTGGAAGGAATTGTAAATAAATTGAAACCAACCTAGATTTCTCTGGTCTGAACTCAGACTTAACTGTTGAACAAGCCATGAATTTCACCATTCAGATGTCCTGATCCAACCCTGAGGCCAGAAACCCTGCTGTCAGCATGGACTCTAACAGAAGTGCTGTTATCTCGAGGGTAACTTGGTCTGTTGGCCTTGTTTTGGGGTCAATTGATGTTTCATACTACTTTGACTAGTTGGTCTAGGTTAAAATTATTTGGAGCTTATTTTATGCTATGAGGTCATCCTAACTGGAAGTTTTAATCCAGATAATAATAAGCTATGCCTTATGTTAAGGATAATAACTGTATATCATTATGGATCAATAACCGTAAGCTCTCTAGGGTCTTCTCGTCTTATTTTAGTAAAGTCATTTTCACTAATTCTCTCAGCAAGCCATTCAGGCCAGTCCTGACTTAAGGAGCCTGTGCTGTCAGGGTACTGTTGCCATAACCTCGGTCATACACAGGCAGTGCCTCTAATGCTAGAATTGCTACAGGCAATGTTTTGGTAAAACAGGTGCAGTTTTTGTTTGCTGAGTTCCTTTTACCTTTTTTTTTTTCTTTCCTGTTTCCATTCCCAAGTTAACAGCTGTTAAAATAAGTAGCTTGAGATTTCTTTTATTTAGCTGTTAACTCTCAGTGAGAATTCAATCTGCTATAAAGTTGTGCAAGGGGAAAATATTTCTTGTTACAATATTAACACTCTTACCTCTAATGGGCAATAGATTAATTCAGTTTAATTATTCAAAGCTGGAGTATAATTATAGAATTAAGTGTCTGAGATTCTTACTTGGTGACAGCTTTTAAGCCAACCCTGGGTACTGATGTGTTAGAGTCTCCATGAAAAGCTGTATCCTTTGTCTAAAGAACCATCCTTTGGAGTTAAGGCAGAACTAAAATTCTGGGTTGGGCATTCAGCTATCATCAGGCACAGTTGGTTTGTCACCCGTACCTAAAAATCATCCTACTCACTATTTTGCTCTTTAGATGGGTTCATTCAAAGAAACTGTTTTTAGGTAGTTCCTCTAATTTCAGGAAATTTAGCTAAACTCTCCGTTATGTTTCTTCCAGCTAACTCACTATGCAAAAGGTAAAAAGGTGTGATCTTTGCTTTTGTATACCTTTAAGGTGTTTCGTAGCTCCTCAGGAGTCTTCATCACCTGCACGTGACCTTGAGCCGGAATGGTTTGACTTTGGTAGGTCTGGGGTTGAATGGGTAGGTGTATTTAAGGAACAGCAGGAAGAAAGCCAGTGTGGCTAGAAGTGTGGGCAAGGGAAGAGCCATAGGAGACAGGGTTAGAAAGGAGAAAAGAGGACTGTTGGTGCTGGTCAAGAGATAGAACACCTGCTTTGCAAGCGCGAAGCCCTGATTTCAAACTCTAGTCCCACCAAAAAAAAAAAAAAGGAGGCAAAAGATAGATTATGGACGACCTTGCAGGTCATAGAAAGACATCTGTGGGTTCTATTCATAGTACA